AATAAGTATAGTTTTAATGTCCTCTCGTCCTACTGTAAGTACCATCCAGTCCTATAGTCCTCTGTGTAATAAGCATAATTTTAATGTCCTCTCGTCCTGTAAGTACCATCCAGTCCTATAGTCCTCTGTGTAATAAGTATAGTTTTAATGTCCTCTCGTCCTACTGTAAGTACCATCCAGTCCTATAGTCCTCTGTGTAATAAGTATAGTTTTAATGTCCTCTCGTCCTACTGTAAGTACCATCCAGTCCTATAGTCCTCTGTGTAATAAGTATAGTTTTAAGTCCTACTGTAGTACCATCCAGTCCTATAGTCCTCTGTGTAATAAGTATAGTTTTACTGTCCTCTCGTCCTACTGTAAGTAGAATCCAGTCCTATAGTCCTATAGTCCTCTGTGTAATAAGTATAGTTTTAATGTCCTCTCGTCCTACTGTAAGTACCATCCAGTCCTATAGTCCTCTGTGTAATAAGCATAGTTTTAATGTCCTCTCGTCCTACTGTAAGTACCATCCAGTCATATAGTCCTCTGTGTAATAAGTATAGTTTTAAGTCCTATAGTACCATCCTCTGTGTAATAAGTATAGTTTTAATGTCCTCTCGTCCTACTGTAAGTATTATAAACTGTGAAATAGTTTTAATGTCCTCTCGTCCTACTGTAAGTATTATAAACTGTGAAAATACGGGTAACTTAAACATCAGGTAGCCCGGAATCGAAATCCATCCCCTCCCGATTTGTGTGTAATTATTTGTCTGTATCTAGGATGAATTGAAATCGGATTTTGTAATTCTTCTATCAAATATTCTAATATCAACAGATTAATCTGTGACTTATCCTTTCAGGCCATAAGATTTAACGTTTTACAAATATCAGCTACCACGAAATAACCTGTGAAATGTTGTGATGGCAGCCCAATGTTAAATGCTTATGATATATCATATGTATGGGTCCTTATATCACTAGCTACACCAAACAGGTTACTAAACCTTATGTCCTGTAAGACATTTTTCCTTACTCCAGTTCTTACCATTTTCTCCTATTGACTCTACTGACTATTGATGTTATGGTCCACTGACTTCACTCAAGAATGAAGTGAAATGGAACATTTCCTAAAAATCGAAAAGACTTATCAGTGATGCTATAAACTTTATTTTACAACAGTTGCGAAACAAGTTATTTCAACTTATACTAATCACTCTTGTTGACCAGCATGCGAGGGGTTTTATTGTGGGAGGAAACCGGAGTACCCAGGGAAAACCCTCGTGGTCAGGCAGGTACCTTTTCACGTCCGTTCCAGGAGTCGAACCCCGAACGGCTAGACGAAAGGCGAGTACGTTACCACTGCGCCATCCGACCACCCAAACTGATGCTGAAGATCTAGGATATACATCTCTAGAAAGCGAGTCGTGAAATCTAATGTAGACCAAACAATGTGTTAAGATATATCTGGGTGGAGGTAATTTTTAAAAGAGTGTCAAAAGTTAAACACGAATGAATATTAACTTAACTACACAGATAAGATAAAAACGGCCACTCACCATAAGTCTGACAACGACCACTACGAATGGGGAGCTATACAGAAATAAACAATAGTGATAGATATCTTACGAACTTTTAACGAAGCATAGCAATGTATCACGTGAAATCTGTATATTAATGCCCTAATTTAAGACTTTTATGAAACACGTGTTAATATCGATTTCCTCTCCTGATATCCACTATTAACGTACAAAATGTAGGATATATATACGGGTTTTGGATCTTTTTTAATTATCGATTAATAGATTCTATCATATACGATGTCCTGACCACTTGAAGATTATTCACATATATAGTAAATTTCCCATTTAGAGTAACATTAATTAATGTTTATCTATATGTGTATTCAAGCCTATCGCTATGGTATAAGTTATTGCAGTGGAAATTTCCATGACGTATGTGTACTATTCTGTCTATAATGATGTTTTTTTTTTTAATTTTTTTAACCTTTTACGTTTTACGCATCGCTGGTTCTTTTGAAATTCTGAACAAACCACAGCGTAACACATATCCATAGCTAAATATATACGTTATGGGGTTTCCACTTTCAGTTTGATGAAAAGGGATGAAGGTCTTCCTCACGTCTCCAGAATACTGACGTTCGTTGGTGAGACCATTCTTGTGCACGGGAGGTGACACGGAGACTGAAAAACCCGTCAATCAATTAGTTAACCAATCACTTTCTGTTGAAAGATATAAACTCCAGTTCTGTCAACACTGTATTAAAGGTAAGTAATATATTATTGTTAATGTAACATTTAGCTAATATATATATTTATGTTATTTATTGATAAAACACGCTAGTGTTATCTTTTTCAAAATTAACTTAAGTCAAATCACTATCGAGAGGTCCATCTATCTATCTGTCGATTTTAGTTAAACAACTTCACCCTTGTATGATATGTATTTTGCTTACGTGAAAATTAAGTTTAAAATGAAGTCATTTTGGGGCCGAACTCTCTGAGTGATGATAACTTTTCTAATCAAAAGTAACACTTTCCTTATCAAAATTAACATTGCATAGAACCTTTTAATAAGTTCCGTATCATTTGATTTCTTTAAAAACTTACCATATACATAATCTAATCTAAATGTTTGCCTGCTTATACCATTATAGAACTAAGGTTAAATTTTATGGTACTCAAGGATGGCAACTTATATAATGTTAATACCAATTTACTTATGGGGAAGAGTTCAGAAGTTGCTAGAACTTGTCTCTGATCCATTTATCTGCTACTGATGATAAAATATACTTAAATCAAGCCAGCAATTCTGCATTTCAGGGGAGACAACTGCAGCCTACGTATATTAAGTAAATACAAAAGAGATATTTACATGTTTGTTAATGGTTATTTCCACTTTAATCGCGTTTTATAACGCTGTCAATAAGTGAAATGTATATCTCAATATACCTAGTATTCCACGGTGTCAGGAACTAGGTGTCTAGGTGCAGCTCTTTGACAAGAAATGATCAGGATTTTCTTACCCAGTGTTTTCGTGGTGCTTTCCCAAGTATTCGTCGCTTCGGTGGTAGCTATATCCGGTCCTTGTACAGTGTTTTCGGGAATTTTGTAACATCACATACTTAACGGCACAAATAAATGAGGACCCTACAAAGAAGGAACTAAGGCAAAATAAAGAAACAGTGAATTTGCTTGAACAGGCTTCAATATTACCCTTCAAATATCTGCACACAAAACCATATGTGAAATATCTAGAAAATAAATATTCTAGGAAAGGCACAGATCACCTTTCAATACAAATCACATGTAGAGCTACACTGATTAGAGTCAAATAAATAAGTTCTTCTACTCATTAGTGATGCTAAAGTTAGAAGCCTAGAAGGCGACTGAGGAAAATCCAAAGAGCTCAAAGATAATGTCAAAATCTAGATGACGATATGCACACGCCCTTTACTTCGATAAATTCAGTACTTTTCCTAAATTTGATAATTTTAGAACAACGGCAGATCCATTTTCAATTTTATAATTTGTGTATGTGTATGTTGTATATGAAAATCTCAAAATAAAGTAGTGTTTAAACCAACGGCAGGTAAATGCACATATTCCTAAACGTGCCATTATTTAAACGTGGTATGCAGGTTATGAATCTATGAATGAAAGATTCTAAAAGAATGTGAGCAGTCTAACGTTCGTTATCCATTACCCTGACACTGATGTCTGCCTTTGTCAGCCTTGCGTTTAATGTCACTTTCAAACATATGAATGACATCTGTAAATAACGAGAGATTTATTTGTCCATCGTATATACGATTTTCGTACAAAAATCGTCAACTAACGGACTCATAACACACGATTTCAGAAGATGTAGATTGATGGAAATTATAGGGGAGTTTTATGGTCGTCATGGTGATCTCGTTGCGAAATATTTTATTTCTTGAAGCTGGACGTGTTTGATGTTCGTTAGTTTGTCTGTTGGTTCCGTTGTGTGATATGAAGCTGGACGTGTTTGATGTTCGTTAGTTTGTCTGTTGGTTCCGTTGTGTGATATGAAGCTGGACGTGTTTGATGTTCGTTAGTTTGTCTGTTGGTTCCGTTGTGTGATATGAAGCTGGACGTGTTTGATGTTCGTTAGTTTGCCTGTTGGTTCCTTTGTTGAGTAACATGCTATCATTTGAGAACGTGACATTACTTGCTTGCATTGACCAAGATTAACATGGCGGATGTCGTCGATGGAGCAGAAGGCGCTTATTCTTCAACAACACCTGGTCTTATTCTCCATGTATTTTTGCAATAGTTTCTGTGTAAATGTTACCTTTTTTCTTATTTTTCCCCTGTTTTATTAAATTTGAGCCTAGATTATGAATATGTCGACATGACAGTATTTTCTTTATGTTTTTGTATAACTTTTGCATCGGATTCCATTTAACTGAAAAACGTGAAAGGTGTCGTATATAATGGGCGTTTTCTGTCACCATATCATACAGACCTTTTAGAGGCAGCCTTTCTAAAATTTGTGAGAAATTGTGCAAAAGAGTATCAGAAGTAAAGCTCGTTGACTTTCCACTCATTGGTGTAAACACAAGAAGTTCTATAAATCTTACGCTCACTGATTTATTTACAAATAACATAAAAATGTTTCTTTTATCATTCTAATAAAGTTTCCTCGCAATTCATTAATTGGCAAAAAATGACTCACAAAAGACAAGTGATGACTTGTACATGATGAGAAACGGAGTAGGACGATTCTAGGTCTCATTACCTTACACGGTGCTTGGTACGTCAAATGTCCAAATACCACAGAAAATAAAACGATTGTTTATCGATATGTATGTTATACAAGAAAATAAAGAAAGACATCTTCAGTCCCATTCCACATTGTAAAGCGTCGATCTACAGGAAGCACATGCTTCAACATGTCTCAGGAATACCACGCCAATTGATATCCTTCCTTATCTTTTTTTTTCAGAAATTCTCTCAAGACATTCACTCCACGAGAGAAACATGCGTTTGGTAGGACTGCTTGTGTTTTGCCTTGTTACAGATAATGTGGAAGGATTTTTTGGCCTCGGAAGGTTTGTGAATTCTGGAAGGAAATCAATGAAAAGACTAGTCGGCATGGTTGACCAAGAAGCGAAAGCGTATCGCCGAATTTTCGAACAGGACGTCATCCCTGAGCTTAAACAAACGATGACGCAGGTTAGAACGTCAATAAACGACGTCGTGGTAATAGCTGACCGGATCGAGCATAGATTAGAGGAAACACTGCAGAAAGTTGATGAACTGATCGGGCAGATTGGTTTTAAAATTAACAAAATGGCTGATTTAATCATCATTTTATTCATGGCTTTCTTGTTTGTTGTTATCGGCTCACTCTGTGACAATAAACAGTTCATATTATTGTACTACTCGTTCCAATTTATCCGAGGAGTTTGTGTGATTACAGCTATGACGTTACTGGTTCGTCTGGACTTCGAATTGGTACTCCGTGTGGATATGAACACTGCGTCTACTATCAGGTATTGCTTAATATCTCCTGTCGTCTTTGTGCTAGTATGTGCTGGTTTAAGTATAGCTTACAAAGCGCTTCGACAAGGAGGATTCGCTGTGGGTTTTATCCTACAGGGCCCACGTTTAATCATTTACTGCACTGTTGACGGACCGTGGAGATGGACATATGGTGCCTACAAGTATGGACAAGAATCGAAATCAAAGACGGGATTATTATTGTCCATCTTTTTGCCATGGTTGTCGCTATTGATCTGTTTTGGGGTGTTCTGTTTGTTCGCAGGTGATATCGATGATGAAAAGTCTGAGCAAAACGCTATGTTACTTGGGATCATCACAGCGTATGTATTCTTTTTAACGTTCGCTAATCACCTTCGTATGTTCCATCTCCGCCCCGAGCCACAGACGCACATGAGGAACATCCAAAACCAGAAATATCACAAAATTCAACCGAATGCTCTTCCACCTGCTCAGGGATCAACACGGCCAACCACAGAACACACTCGACTTCGACGTTAAAGCATTACCTTTTATCCAGAATCGACCCGTGTTTTATATATAAGGTATCGATAGTTTTCCTTGTTTTTCTTCATTTGACAGTTGACGTTGCAACGATTTGGACCGAGGTGTGGTTAAAGATGGACTTTGCGTCATCGTGTCGTGAAAATTAACCTTATCGACTGTTTATATTCAGCAATTACTTTTGCTGCATCACTTGTACGAATCTTTCTTTTATCAACCCATCGATATGAAATGCGCAATGGTTTCAAAGTGCTACTTGGAAATTTTGCATTTCAAGAATTGTACGAAAGAAATACAAATGAATTGCACATTTCGGTACAAATTTAGAATTCGATAGTGTAGAGCCAAACAATCAAACTGCATCATACAGCCGTTTCTCCCTTCAAGGACTCATCAGTGGTGACAAGGGCATATTTTGTGAAAACTCGGAAGTGACTCATTAACCGAAAGAAAAGTGAAAATTGTCAGTGAAGCAACGAGCCTGAATAAAAGAAATGATGATAACTTGCTACCTATATAGTGTTTACTACCTGTAGTTGATTTGATATCCAATGTCAGAATTACACCGACAGATAACGAGGAGTCTTTGTACGTCATCAGGTTATATTATTTCGTGACATTACCTGTGTTGAGTACTGATCCAGATTAGCATAAGAAGGTGTTGTCGATGAAGCAGGAACACAACACCTTTTTAAAATCTTATTTTTCGCCTGCCTTTCCTTTATTTTAATGTCGTCCTCAATTGACTTGTTTAATATGAATGACGATATAGTTGATATGTCGTTGTTCAGTTTTTTTACTGTTATTCTTGATGTGAAAGCAATTTAACCAAGTGGACAACATTATGAAGCATTTAAAACAATCTTTGTTTACATTTAAGCATTGTAAACAAAGTCTATTTTAACGTATGGTTTTTTTTTTTTTTAGAAATATGACGTCATGTCATTAGGACTTTCTATAGACTCATTGGAAGTACAGTTTTAATACGACTTTCCGTTCAGGAGGAATAGTGATTTTCAACATGGCGTCTGGGTAAGTTTGATTCGCTTTTGTTGTAAAAATGGCTGTCGCTGTAAGCTGTCCGCATAACAGTAACGGAAATACTGCGGTACAAAAGCAATGACTATCGCTATTTTCTCTTCATATATCCGTCGCAGTATCTTCGAATGTCAAGGTACATTGTTTATAGAAAACCAGTTGACAGGTCTCGAGGTCTGTAAATATGATTACATTGCCCAGGCAATTTTAACTTTTTGAGATACTCGTCAAGCGACATGTTATACGCACGTATATGTATCAATATAACAGATATGAAATATATTCATCCCTTCAGCAACATCAGAATGACTTTGTGTTATTTATAAACAACGAGTAATTAATATTCCTGTGCCATATATTTAGTGTTAAGATCTGCCAACAGACCATTGGCATACCTATGGACACAAACAGTACTCATCCCGAACGTGATTTCTGTGTATTTATTTCTTAATCTATTTTCTACAAACCAAAATTATCGCAGAGCTTATCAAACAGGCAACAAAGACTTCCATTTCCCTTTCTGATATATTGATGATGTCTTGAAATAACTGACCACGTTCATCGTATATACCAACCCCAGAACTTTGAAAATCAAGGACACGGCCGACCGATTTACATCAGTCGCTTATCTCGATCTTTTCCTACAATGAAAAATGACAGGAAAAACTTTCCACAAAGCTGTATGATAGACAAAGTGATTTCAGTTTCCTTACTGTGAATACTCCATCTCTGGAAAGCTACATTCCTGTATCCCCAATGTTTACATGTCTCAGTTGATCAGATATTCAGGGGTTTCTTTCCAGATATCATGATTTCCATGATATCGGCAGCTGATAGAAAAATCACTTCATAGGGTTTCCATCGAATCTCATTAGGAAATATTGGATGTATTTGTTGTTCGTTAGTATGATGGCTCTGTTGTTATTCTCATAGGTGACATTACTTACTTGAATATTCACCAAGATTTTGCAAGGCGGGTTTCGTGCATGAAGTAGAAGCTGCTTATCCACATGAATAATACTTATTTTGTGATCAGTCTCATTAAATTTTTACGATAAATCTGATATCTGAATTGTATATTTCAATAATTTGAAGGAACGACTTAATTTGTGATATTATTTTCAATGAATTGTTTTTCATCTATTGATAGGTTAAATGTTCTACTTACAGTGAACAGCTGCGTTTCTTTTAACATTAACAGGTCTAATATGTATTCATAACAGGGACACATTAAATAAAACAGGTATGCACTAAAACATCAGGGTTTCTGCCGATTCAAATGCAATTTTGACACACAGTCTTCATACCTTTCTGATGGACTTGTCATCAACAAAGAAATGGGGGGGGGGACCATGTGCTCTCCATCTTAAAAATTAAAATGGTAGCGATTTCTGTATGAAGATAACACCCCTCATTAATCTATTTTAATTGAGGTTGAACATTTCATCTTAGCTGATATTTTACATCTCTCAACACACCTTTTTATTGAGCTTATTTCAGCTAGCGAGTGAAGTGAGTGACAAAGAGTCCTTACTATTAAGTGTTGGAAATAAGGTAGAATGTCACCTCAAAGTTGAATGTATCTTTAGGATTATAAAAGGTCACATATAAAAGAGTAATCAAGTCATGGAATTCATTTTTCTTTTCTGTTCATGTTCATTTCCCAGCAAGCGACATATACAGTAAACACACTAAAATATTACCTGTCATCATTAGTCAAGTATATTTAAACTGGACAAGGTGAACTGAAATAGACGCCCTTTCGTAGTAAATCACCACACCTCTTTGGCTGAACTCCATGTACTTTTTTGAGAAAATATATTGTGTGCTTTAAGAATTTGTGGATGCAAACATTAACAGACGAAGTCCACGAAAGCAAAGCTGTGGCAGTTATGTATCACAGAATAATCTCAAAATTGAACTTGTATGTGTACCTCTTAAGGTACTTGTATGGATTTGGTGTTCTTCAAACAGTCATAAGTAAATAATAGGTCAGCAGCTGATGGGTCACTGGTACCTTTATATGATGTGTAAATCACAATCATATATAGTGCTATCATACCGAAATGTCTTAATCTGCCATAAGCCAGTGAGATTCCAATACCAGGTTATCAACACTGCACAACTAGGAACAAAGTGTGAGAAACATTCCAAGTTCATCTAAGGAAATCTACTCATAAAATATCATAGTGTTTAAAAAAACATTGTTCCAGCAAAATAAGTTTATTCAAGATTTTAATCAGAAGACAAGTATGATAAAAAGAACTCAGTACAAATTCAGACAAGAAGGATCAGTACGTGTCAAGTAACTATATATAAGATTATTGTAGATGTAAGGTATCTGTCTCTAAAAACCATTTCATGATTCAGGCTTTCTCTTTAGTCTTTGTCAGAAAATCTAGTTCCAATCTCAAAGTGAAAATCTGAAGCACTAACAGTTCAGACAACCAATGTTTTTACAAAGCTCCTTTAAATAACAGTTTCTTTCCCTCCAATGGCCCTTCTTTCCAATGTGGTGGGAATGTTTTTGCAATACTAGGCCGCTCTCCTAAATTCTTGTAATACTTGAGGAGGTTTGGATAGTCGTCGAGGCTGCTGCCAAATCGTACCAAATATGCCACAAATGTATACAATACCACATCAGCCAAGGAGAAAGCTTTTCCACCAACATGGCCACTTTCAGACTTAAAACAATGAAACAAAGAATCAGTATCTACATTAAGCACTTTAGACATGAAAGGTCAATACTGTTTTTCAGTATCTACCAAAAAATGGATATATACAGAACCCTGAAAAGTACATCATGACTCTCTCAAACAACAGACAGATACGGTTTGTTTTACTCACCTGGTTTATTTTGCTCAAAATTAATTAATCTAAACTAAAGAAAAAGCATTTAAAATGAATGTATCACCTCCCTCCTGCCCCACAGGGCCAAGACAATATCAACAAAATTGATTCCTATTCACCTAAGAATGCCTAAGACCAAATTTGGGCAAAATCCAATCATTCCTTCAAGAGAAGAAGGATTTTAAAGAATCTGCGCTATTTCCACTACTTGGCCCTTATACATCAACTTCTCAACTTGACAACTGACAACTAAGCTTACTTAGCCTGTTGGACCAGGTACGCTAAAAAAAAACAATCCACACATGAACTCATAGGTCCTTGACAAACACAGTGTTTAGGGAAATAAGGTTAAAGGTCAACAATGGTAACCTTGGCAACTAATTTAACAAATATTTATTACACTTCTTACCTCTTTAACATGTTTTTCCCAAATCTTGAGTTCCTCTTTCAGATCTTTGATGTTATTTTCAAAAGCTTCAATAAATTCCTGAAATACAAAGAGTTTAGATCTTCAATATTTAAACAAGAAATACACAGTATGGGAGTATCATATTATATGGATTTGTCTTATTATTAATTGAAGGAGGGAAGGGACACACATATTAACTCCGATCCAAGGAACACTTTGGTTTGATAATGATCCCTAATTAAGCTTGTGAAAATAAATTACAGTTTAAATTATCTTAGCAGATAAGATATTCTCTATACTTAAGTAAGACTCACGTTGTGGTCCATATTGCAACAAGCCATCAAAAAAAACATATATACATACTTTTCCCTCCCTCTTTTCTTCTGGAGTCATCCACGTGAAGTAGATGCACTTTATCATAATCTTCATATTGAGGTTCTCTTGTGCCTGTAGGTGAGTTGGATTAAGAAATATATACATGATGTTAATATTTTTGACAATCTGAATAAGCCGTCACGGAACATCCAGGTTCACAGACAAGCAGGGCTTAATGTCCAGTTAATCGAAGTATCTTTGCTCTGTAGGCCAACTATGTCAACAAATAAATGTTAATCTACCAACAAAACAAGGATTTAATCATAACATGAGGCCCAATGGGCTTGCATCACTCACCTGGTATTTGATATTCATCGAAAAAAGAATTGGTGTTAATGTCACAAATATATTGACATGTATGTACATCTTTGTCAGAACAAACAGCTTCTAATACTCAATTCTAAATAGTGACAGTTATCATCCATTCTTTGTAATTAAAGTTGGTTGGGCTTTGACGATTTAATCCTAGGAACCAATCACTCAAATATCATGCTTCTGCATCTTTATTTTAATCAGAGAAAGTAATTTAAACAAATTTGGCCCCTGTGACCTTGAACATTAGTCAAGGTCATTTCATTTCACAAACTTTCTCTGGCTTCATCCTAGGAACACACCTGCCAAATACCACGCCTCTAGGCCTTTAAGTTCATGAGCAGAAGCTGTTTAAATATTTTAACAAATTTGACCTGTGTTACATTGAAGGTCAAGGTCATTTATTTTCACAAAGCTTGTCAAGCTTCATCATTGGAACATACCAGCCAAATATCATACCACTAGGTTTTTTAGTTCATGAGCAGAAGTTGTTTAAATGTTTTAACAAATATGACCCTTGTGACCTTGGATATGTCAAGGTAACTTCTTTTCGCAAACTTTGTCAGGCTTCATCCTAGGTAGACGCCAGCCATATATCAAAACATTTGGTCCATAGGTTATTGAGAAGTTGTTTAAAGGAAGGAAAAAATAGACACCGCATGATGGACAGATGATGAAAGAACAACAAACGCAACCCCAAAGATAAGCTTACTATGCCCTGCAGACCCGGTGAGCTAAAACCAAGACCAAAATAATGAGATTTTTGGAGGATTTTGCTGCTCACCATTGAATGACTATTATTGGTTCCATTCAAAAAAAATTTTTTTTTTTGTATTCTCCCTTTCTTTCCCCTTTCCTTAATATTTCATAATTAGGGAATCCCACATTGGAAATCTTCAAAAGATTTAGATCAGTTCACGGATTCAAAACATATCTTGTACACAAGCTTTTTATTTCCAAAGGGGTCAATGGTGACATCTGACCTTTAACCTTCAACAATGACAACCAAAATCTAATCAGGTGTAGACCTTGTTGTTGTGCTATTATGGTGTGAATCAATGACATTTGACCTTTAACCTTGAGAAACAGCAATGACAACTAAATCTAATCAGGTGTAGATATTATTATTTCACCACAAATTCAAGATGGCCAACAATTATCAGACCATTTCATGGCAAGGCATTATATTACTGTTTAATTGTTGCTTACATCCTATTAACAGCATTTGTGGTGGGGTAGGGCCCGAATCCCCGGAGAAAAACCACCAATCTGCAGCCAGTACCTGGCACCCACCATTGCCTGGTCTTCATTTGTTCTTTAAAATCAAAATCTTCTCCCTTCTACTGTTCTGTCTACTCTTGCTCTTATTACAAAGAAATTTAAAATTTTGTCCAGAACTGGTGACAATAATCTATATTTGTATAATCAAAGATGGTTTCCTGTCAGCCAGTCTGTTTTTCTGATCAGTCTCAAAATCGAAAAGTGCACAACATAGGACTGAAGTCAAGTAAGCTGTACTTACCTCTATTGCAAGTTGAATCACCTTGGCATAATCAGCTACCTCTTCTGGCAGAAGCTTTGTTCCACTATTTGGGTATGCTTTCTGCAAACACAAATTGATAAATGCAACCTTCATAACCTTGGTTTCTTATGTTATCAAATGGCAGAGATGAATAGTTTAGCCAATATGTAAAGCTTAGGTCTAGCCACATGTTTCTGTTTCTGGTAACTCTAACTACCCTAATATTTTGTGCCTACTTTAAACATCCAGTCAATTTTTCAAAGTTGAAGTCAAGATTTCTCTTCTTAACAAACCACATAAATTTATTTGTTAAAACAAAATTTTATCATGCCTACACACCTACCCTAATTTTTTACAATATGTTAAAAGAAACACATGTAGTTTTTTTTATCCTTTTTTACATAGATCTTCTCTAAAACAACGAACAGAGATATAAATGTGAACATTATCTGTTTACCATACACAAGTTTTCAATTGATGCGATTTAAAAAGAAAAGACACCTGTTGTCTAATCCCTTTGTACAACTTTGTGCCATAAAAGTTGTTGAAATGAAAAATGTTATTCATCAATCAAATTTTTTATTTTAGATGGTTCATAAATCCCCTACTAAAATGTAATAAATTATTTAAGCAAATATTGTAGAATACAGACACTTCTACATCAAACTTGAACTGAATTTTCCTCCATGATTCTTATACTACAACACATTATTTCAGTACATAATATTATCTTATTTACATATTATTTGAGTGTGTGACATCCTTTGATTATCTAAATTTGGTGTCAAAAAAGTTTATTTTACACATGTATCAAAATAACAGGCAAAAATATTACATATAGCAAACTCAATGCAGTCATATTATAGTTTTAATCGTCGGGACACAATGTAAGGGGAGACAACTGCTAATAACATACTCAACTTTTACATAAGTGCTGCATAGTGATGGGACAAATTGTTTAACCTCTTCTGTTGTGATGATCAATTGTACTTTTCCATGATTGATCATCAGTCCCTGAATATTTTCTTGTGTTTCAGTAAAAACAACATTCATATCATGCCTAATAAAGATGCCAATTGCCATTAATATTTATTCTCTGCAAATTCTAGGTAAGACATCTGACCTTTAACCTTCAACAATGACAACCAAAATCTAATCAGGTGTAGACCTTGTTGTTGTGCTATTATGGTGTGAATCAATGACATTTGACCTTTAACCTTGAGAAACAGCAATGACAACTAAATCTAATCAGGTGTAGATATTATTATTTCACCACAAATTCAAGATGGAAGGATGGCCAACAATTATCAGACCATTTCATGGCAAGGCATTATATTACTGTTAAATTGTTGCTTACATCCTATCAACAGCATTTGTGGTGGGGTAGGGCCCGAATCCCCGGAGAAAAACCACCGATCTGCAGCCAGTACCTGGCACCCACCATTGCCTGATCTTGATCATCATGCCCTGAATATTTCTTGTGTTTTAGTAAAAACAACATTCATAACATGCCTAATAAAGATGCTACTTGCCATTAATATTTATTCTCTGCAAATACTAGGTAAGAGTGGTATTTTAGGTCAAAGTTAAAAAACAAAGATCAGAATAGTGCAACGATGAATACATTTACTTTCTATAGATATTGAACACACTGCCAGCTGTTTACATAATTGATTAGTCTCCCATTTTAACCAGTAATTGATTATATATTTTGACTGATTTCCCATCACTAGTGTTACATATTTCCTACAAAAATCAGAAGAGGTGGACAAATAACATGTTATTCAAAATCGGTGAGTGGGCTTATTATCCTGAAGCAAGTCAAGGGAACAGACACATTACCTCTGGCTCAAAGTCGGGGTGGGCTTATCACAGAACTCTCTGAGGGCCAACACATTACCTTTGACTCAAAAGTCAGTCAATGGGCTTATTACAAAACCACAGGGGGCCAACACAATACCACTGACTTATGTCAGTGTGTGGACTTATTACAAAATCTCAAAGGGGCCAACACATCACCTCTGACTCAAAGACAGGAGGGGCCTATTACAGGACATCAAGGACCAACCCATTACCTCTGACTCAAAATCAGGGGGTTGGCTTACTACAGAACCTTCTGAGGGACAACACATTACCTCTGATTCAAAATTCAGTTAGTGGGCTTATTACAAAACCACAGGGGGCCAAAACATAACCTCGGAATTAAAGTTGGGGAGCAGGCTTATTACAAAACCTCAGGGTGCCAACACATTACCTCGGAATTAAAGTTGGGGAGCAGGCTTATTACAAAACCTCAGGGTGCCAACACATTACCTCGGAATTAAAGTTGGGGAGCAGGCTTATTACAAAACATCAGGGGGCCAACACAATACCTCTGACTAATGTCAGTGAGTGGGCTTATTACAAAATCTCAGGAGCCATCACATTACCTCTGACTCAAAGACAGGAGGGGTCTATAACAGGAAATCAGGGACCAACATATTACCTCTGATTCAAAATCATGGGGTGGGCTTATTATGGAACCTCAGAGGGGCCAACACATTACCTCTGACTAATGTCAGGAGTGGGCTTATTGACACAAAGACAAAATCAGGGACCAAAACATTACCATCACATTACCTCTGACACAAAGACAGGAAGTGGGTCTCTTACAGGAAATCAGGGACCAACATATTACCTCTGATTCAAAATCAGGAGGTGGGCTTATTACGGAACCTCAGAGGGGCCAACACATTTCCTCTGACTCAGAGACAGGAAGTGGGTCTCTTACAGGACATCAGGGACCAACACATTACTACTGACACAAAGACAGGAAGTGGGTCTCTTACAGGACATCAGGGACCAACACATTACTCTGACTCAAAGACAGGAAGTGGGTCTCTTACAGGACATCAGGGACCAACACATTACTACTGACACAAAGACAGGAAGTGGGTCTCTTACAGGACATCAGGGACCAACACATTACTACTGACTCAAAGACAGGAAGTGGGTCTCTTATAGGACATCAGGGACCAACACATTACTCTGACTCAAAGACAGGAAGTGGGTCTCTTACAGGACATCAGGGACCAACACATTACTACTGACACAAAGACAGGAAGTGGGTCTCTTATAGGACATCAGGGACCAACACATTACTACTGACTCAAAGACAGGAAGTGGGTCTCTTACAGGACATCAGGGACCAACACATTACTACTGACTCAAAGACAGGAAGTGGGTCTCTTACAGGACATCAGGGACCAACACATTACTCTGACTCAAAGACAGGAAGTGGGTCTCTTACAGGACATCAGGGACCAACACATTACTCTGACTCAAAGACAGGAAGTGGGTCTCTTACAGGACATCAGGGACCAACACATTACTACTGACTCAAAGACAGGAAGTGGGTCTCTTACAGGACATCAGGGACCAACACATTACTACTGACTCAAAGACAGGAAGTGGGTCTCTTACAGGACATCAGGGACCAACACATTACTACTGACTCAAAGACAGGAAGTGGGTCTCTTATAGGACATCAGGGACCAACACATTACTCTAACTCAAAGACAGAAAGTGGGTCTCTTACAGGACATCAGGGACCAACACATTACTCTGACTCAAAGACAGGAAGTGGGTCTCTTACAGGACATCAGGGACCAACACATTACTACTGACTCAAAGACAGGAAGTGGGTCTCTTACAGGACATCAGGGACCAACACATTACTCTGACTCAAAGACAGGAAGTGGGTCTCTTACAGGACATCAGGGACCAACACATTACTACTGACTCAAAGACAGGAAGTGGGTCTCTTACAGGACATCAGGGACCAGTCAGTCTGACAATATCTTGTCAAAATATTGAAATTATAAACCGATCTTACATTCAGTTCCACTTTGTGATATCATTTCATTTATGAACCTTGTCAAAATGACCTAAATATCTGAACAGTTCAGTTAGTTTTGCAGAATTTTTTTTCAGGTGAGTCTAGAACATATTTATGAAATTTTGGTGAGTCCCATTACTAAGGGATTTTGTGGGTCCTCAAAATTTGAGGGAGTCCCAGAGGAAAATCACGAGTCCAGGACTTGAATATCTGAATCCGGCAAAAAACACTGAAACTTAGACCCTAGATGCAAACTTGTTTGTATAATACATATATATATACTATTACAAGATTAGACCATTTAATTTTCACTCTGTACTGAATCTCACTCCAAATTTCTATGATAAATAAGAGGGTTTCTTTTACATGCCAAGATAACATATATGTTACTATATATCAAGCGGATATCATTGTCAACAACAGTTGTAACATCTTCCAACACACTACGTATTGTCATAGCATGTGGAAATAAAAGCCCAGTTACTGTTCCCTTCCCCTGGTTCGTTTCTATATTCATACCAGTCTGAATTTATCACGTTTATTAAAACATATAACAAAACATTATTTTTTGGAACTTCAACAATTGAGTCCTGTACTCATACATTTTCTGTGCGACTCACTCAAATTTTTAGACCTCACTATATCTGATAGCTCTGGAACTCATCATAACTTTGAAATGGTCTTTTGCACTGGCTATAAAAAAAACTGACAAAAACTCCTGACAAAGACCTTTTGAAGTCCTTTAACTGATACATATATTATGAAACATCCTTTCCTAACAATAAATTAAAACAAATTAGCCATGTTCATTGTATAATGCTGACTGGTATTGGAAATTAAGGACATGAGAAGACTATTACCTGTTTAACCCTAAATATGTATTAGTGTAACCAACCCTGTGGAAGACAACTATAATGGTTTCAATTTTCCTAAAGTGAACTTTCCATTTCTTGATAGCAACAACTATTATTACCAAATCTATGGTGTTTTTTCTAAGTTGACTTCCAGGAAGTCATTACCGGTACTTAAGTTATCACTTACCTCCAAATAGAGACAAATCGCCATGGACTCGTTCACAATGATGTCACCATCTTTGAAGGTTGGAACCTGTCCAGAAACAAATGAAAAGTGAATATGACTGGACTGTACAGAATAGATGGGTTTGACCACTGTTATAGGAACATCAAGATGACAGAAGTGATCAGTAAAGACAGCAGTAACTAGTCAGTTAACTAACAGACAAGGTCAAGGTCATTTATTTGTAGAGTCAAACACATTATCTAAACTGGTTTCTTACCAAATATCATGACCTTGGCCTTTTGATTACATAAATTTGACCCCTATACCTAGAACAGGATTAAGGTCATTCATGCATAAACGAAGGTATATCAAGTCTGATCAAATTTGTCCAGCCAAATATTGACTCGGGAGTCTTTGAGTTTTTGAAAAAAAATCCTGTTTGAAGATCTTGTTGCGACTTCTGTGACATTGAAATATCTCAAGATCCTTTATCCAATTATAGTACTGGCCAAATCGCATCACCCTTTGCTTGTTTCTATGATCACAAAATATTGTTGGAATTGTAAAATCAAGATAATTCATTTAAACAAACCTCGAAAATAGGCAATAACTTAGTAATCAAGGAGTTGCAGGTCTTGGCTTTGTACACCAGGCATTGTTTTTTAATGACTGATGTTTACCTCATGTTTTTAAATGTTGGTCAAGTTATGTTCTGGACACAAAATTTTAACAAAGGGCAATAACTCTGTAATTAAGGAGTTGCAGGCCCCAACTTAGTTGCACTGTACAATGTCTTTGTATGATAAATGTATACTTCCAATTTCATTATCCTAGCATAAATGAAAGTAGAGTCATGCTCTAGACAAGAAATTTTAACATAGGGCAATAACTCTGTAATTAAGGTATTGTGGGTCTTGAATTTGGTATGCAAAACCTCTTATAATGATCAGTGCATACACAAATTTCTAACGTATTTTTAATTCAAGCAAAGCTATGCTCCAGATAAGATATTTTAACAAATGGCAATTACTCTGGAAATGAGGGTTCTGAATTAGGTATTTTCAGGTAGCATAAAAATGTTGGTAGATATTAAGTTATTTGATCCCTATGTTCTTAAATAGGACTAAGGTTGTCCATTTGAACAAACTAAAAGCTCAGCATTTAATAAGCTATAGGCGAATTATCACAGCTCTGAACCTTATATTTGTTTGAAAATCTAAGCAAAGATATCAAAACGTCTGTTACTGAAATTTAAAACATTTCACCAATGTGACCTATGACAGTTATTCATGATTTCATCCTTGTCCGATTGGATTTCACCGATTAACCCAGCATGCTAAAGGCCAAATATCATGTTCTGATTATCGGAGATAATTTATAAAGGTCTGAATACATTTGACCCTGACCTTCATTTGAAAAATCTTGCTCCAAACATTTCATTGGTCATAATTTCACAAAATAATGTTGAGACGCTAGTATAAGCTTGCAGGTCCCTGAAATGACGTATGACTTATAAGTTCTGTTTGGTTATCAATAAGCATGTGCCGTCTTTCTTTTTTTATCGGAATGGAGAACTACTTGGTAAGCAAATATTATTGACCAACTAACGAAAAAAACATAGCTTAAGCGTCGTCATCCATCCCTCTAGGACTAGAACATGAATGTGATTTTTTTATTATTGTCCAGGAACAGGGAAAATACACATTGCTATTGAGTGCCCAGGAACTGAACCCGAGTCTCTGACGTAATAACTGACCGATTCTACCAACTGAGGCAAAAAACAAGCTCTGTCAGCTGAGTGACTGTATTTAACACTATATACAAGTCACACCAACCTCCTCCTAGTGAAATATATTATCAAGAATAAACCATTTTTATTTTGCAAAAATAACAACCAATGTATTTACTTCAACATCTGGACGTTATAAAATACTCTATTCTTAATAAACTTACGATATTTTATATTTGAAGAAAAAAAATCATTCATTTTCACAAGCACCTGTGCGGACTTGGGGATAATCTTGAAATGGTCAGTAATCTAGCTCGCGGCTACCACACCGAAGCATCCGAATTTGTGCATAAATTCTTCATTATCAATAAGATCAACGAATGCAGCAAGTGGGTGTTTATCGGTAACTATATCTTACCTGGCCTCTACTGTTTAATTCCATAACTTCCTTACTCTTATGTCCCTTCTTTGAAAATTCAATTAATGTTTTTTCGATGTCATCGAATCCTTTCTCAGCGAGGGCAATCATTGCTTTCCAACAGGGTCCGCTTCCGGATCCCCAAATCAGATGCATGTCTTCTTTACCCATGGTGAATATTGTAGTTGGAAGCTGGATACTCGTGCAGGTAAGCTCTCAGTAAATCTGGTACTCGTCCAGGTAAGCCTACACCTTTTAGTGTACGATACCGGTATATATATTCACCCGGTGTCGTGGGAATATGTTTCCACTGACGCTATTGTTCCGGTTGTTAGGTTATACTATAATACAGTATAACACCGTAAAATATATCGTTTTCTCTGTATGGGTTATGTAGTTCCCTAAAAGACAAGACTATTATTCGACAATGACATCAGATTTTGTCATGCCAAGACAATCATTTGACGTCATCAAGACGTGACTTATTTATGACGTCACAATAGTGTAATTACACATGTGCCCTGTGATATGTATGATATAGCGGTATGGCATTATACAACAGTTTAAAACAGGACTAATTAATGTTGGGGGAAAGCAAGAGAATTTTACTACCATTTTTATCGTATTTTGTTGTCTGTCTCAGCTGAGCCGTCATTTCATTTCATTTTGAGATACATGGCGAGAGGACAAAAGCTTAACTTAAATTTATCATACTAAACATGCATAATTAATACAAGATATAAATATACTTGAGGTAGAAGTGTTTGGCGATTGGTGAGATAAAGTGTTGGACAAACTCTAGCGTATAGAGCTAGCGTATATGGATTTTTGGGCATACGCTGAAACACGCCAGTGGTAAGCTGGAATACGTTTTTAGTACGCCGGGGTACGTCGATGTACGCTGATGTACGCTGACGGCCAAAATATTTTTTGAACATGCACAAAAATGTTTAGCGTATACCAACGTATGAATTTTACGCCCCTCATTCGTTCCACATACGCTTATATGAAGATCGTTCCTAATGGCGTGTATAGGGAGAAGGAAACGGGTGTCTGAATGTTACATCTGATATTTAGGTCGACTGTTAATATCGAGAACGAATAAATTTGTTGCAAAAAAAAAAAAAAAACAAAGTTTATTGTCTAATTGTCACAGACTTTTATGGATATTTCAACACACCGATTCATTTACATTATCAACAAAAAATTCAATACCTAGTGAACAATCTTACTCCGATAAGATATATCTTGAAAAAAATGCCAAGGTGATTATCGGGCGAGGTCATTAACCATGCTATGTATGACTGGAAAACATCTACCCGAACGAATGCCAACATGTTGGGCTAGCGTTATATAAATTAACCCTGCGGTGTCATGGGAATATCTCACAATTTGTTTTTTATCCGTCTGAACAAATCACCGTCGTGGTTTTTATTCATTTATTTAAACAAACCTGTGAAGATATATTGATATCTCGGTTAATAACAGGTTTTAAGACGATAATTGATTTAGCCACACCAAATTCTTACTTCACGTGTTCTTAGTATTACTCGGCAGTGTATAAATTCCGTTTCATGTAAGCCTGCTTTTACAAGAGGATTGTACGAAAGTCTTTTAACATTGAAAAATTAAAAGTTTCAGTTGTAAGAAAACCGAAAACCATCTGCAGACTTAAAGCAATCTACCTCCCAATCCCTATCTCATGGAAATAAAGATAAAAGTCGCTGACAGGAAGTCAGAACCCTTCAGACTAATAATACATATATGGACAGGAAACACCATCAAAAAGACAATCAGGCAAAATAACACCCCCCCCCCTCCTGTACAACCCAAAACTAGACTCCTGCACAACCCAAAACTATACTCCTGCACAACCCAAAACTATGCTTCCGCACAACCCAAAACTATGCTCCCGCACAACCCAAAACTATACTCCCACACAACCCGAAACTATACTCCTGCACAACCCAAATCTATACTCCCACACAACCCAAATCTATACTCCCACACAACCCAAAACTATGCTCCCGCACAACCCAAAATTATAGTCCCACACAACCCAAAATTGTACTCCTCTCCCGGTGGGAAGTTAAGTAGGGAATCTGTTATAACAGATACCAATGGTTTTGCAGAACAAAAATTACAGACAAAGCATATATCAGGTATATAGCCTTTATTCATTCTCTCTGTAACATAATAATGCACCCGCATTCAAAGGTGTTCACCGAATATACATCGTCAACATTAACATGACATTTTCTCTTCTGAACACTAAAACCGCAGTTTTCAAAAACTTGCAGTAAGTGCCATCATATTATATCTATTCTTCTCAGATAACAGAGGGCACTAAAACTTGACTGAAATATAAGGCACGGCCAAAATCTGGATTCCTGGCCAAATTACATAACACCACTAGAATAACATACTGGAGCACAGAAAATAAATCAAAAAGTGACAGCCGACTACATCTTTGTGGTCACAACAACAATTATAATTAACAAAACTGTTTTAACAACTTTTAACAAGGCGACATTTCACATCCAAAAAAATGCCAACATTACTTTTAAATGTGATTTATATGTCCTTGGGTCACCACCAGTATCTCCTGCACAAATTGAAATGATACAGTTTGACTTCTTATATATTACACAAGAGCTGTGATGACATTGATCATATAATCTTTGTTCCAAAGACGTTTGTAAAAGTAGCTATAAAACTCCAGTCTTTCCAAAAGTGCAATGTGATGTGTTGGAGACCACAATCCACTGTGGGAGAGATTGATAAAACAGTATTTAAAATCTGATGACATTTTTATTGTGATTTAAATGTTAAGCAGTGATAAGGTGAAAGGTTAAGGTCAAATAAAGGTGAAAGGTCAAATGAATTCAGTGCTGAACATGATCAAATATTTCACTATAGCACATTTATGGATACAAGGACTTGGTATGATTTCCCAACCTAACCTGAACCATAGGAAAAAGAATTCATTCCAGGTCCCTGTGGTTATGATCAAGTAATGCTCTAATTGATCGATTCAAATAATTTAAACTGACTCTTATTACAACACACGAAAAAAAAAATTACAAAATGAAGGATAAATCACTATGTAATAAACACACAAACGTCAAACACCTGACAACATTTTAGCTCATTTGCAATCATTTTCAAAATGCTTCCAATGTATGGTGAAGATTTTTCTTCACTGTATACCTAAATTGGCAAATAATTACATTCCTTCTCAGGATCTGGAATAAAGCTACATAAAAAGTGTAAACAGAGCTTGTCTGACCAGTAGGTAAACCCGTAAATATGGAAACCTGACTTCTAATCACAGTAAAAGTACATCATTCTTTTCTTTAAGTTATAGTCTGCATTCGAACTGAACAGACACAATATTCACATTGGTGAAGGAAAAAATAACAGTTGGTCTAATTTTAGACCCATATACTATACCAACTCACAGGTACCTGTCACAAATAGATTTTCCTACAGAATTGCTGAGATATTTAGAAGTACAATACTGAACTTACCCTGTAATAAACTTGAGGGCAACCACTTCACTTCTGACTCAAAGTCAGAGATTGTGACAGGACAATAAAATAGTAGATGTTAGTAAATCTACTTAAAAGTCATAGAACGGGTTTATTACCAGACATGGGCTTATTGTCTGGCAAATATAGTTTGTATAATTGTATGATAATTTCTACATAGCTCCTCAGAAAATCAATTTTGACTGGTACCTGTGTTAAACTGTTGGCTGACAATATCACTTGTATAAACAGTAATGTGTCACAAAATCTCTGCTGTCAGTATTTTTAGTGTCTAAGTCCCTGTGTTTGTGTGTACAAAGCTCAATTCCCAACACAAGCATCCATGTCTCATGAAATACATATGAAAAGTGTTCGGTTGACTAAGAGATCTGATACATATTTCCGATGCATGGGTCACTATCTTAAAATATGATATTATGTAGCTATGAAAAGTGCATTTAATTAGTATATATACACATGGGTTTTGTGACCAAATGGACTCGATAAAACTTCCAAAACCATGGGTCTAAATGTAGAACATGTTTTTATGTAAGTACAGGTATTTGTAAGACACATCGGACAGGATTAAGTATAAAGTCCCTGTTTTATGTGTACATCAACAATAAGGTGATATAGATCTAACAAAAATATAAGTAAATTGTATACAATAGGAAACCTAATGACCCATATTGCAGAAACACAAGAATTGAAAGGGTTACAACTTTCACCATACAAAACAACTGTTTTTACTGAAAAAAAATCATGTATGTATTTGAACAAAGTATCGGAGCTTTACTTAATCTGACAATACTATAGTCTCACCGCTAAATTTTAAAAGGTTTTGTAAAACCTTGTAAAATATGTTCCAACTTTATCATATAACTGATGCAGATTAATCGCAGAAGGAAACTGATACAAAATTACAACACAGATTAAGACCATTATAAATATTTTTAAAAAATGGTAGAAAAAACAAAATATAATAGAATTAAAATACATTGACAACCTTATTGCTTGAAATGAGTTTAAAAACAACAGTTAAAACAAAATCTTTGTATAAAAAGGAACGGCTGTATGTCATCTTGGCTACCAACAGCGTAATACTTCCCTGCAGTACAGATAGAAGTTTGTAACAGAGGTATATAAAAATTTTGAGGAAAAAAAATTTAAATATATTTTCCCATTATTACTCTGATTCATCTATTCATTATCATCTTTTTTTCTGACAAGAATGTGATGTTAAATGCATTGAGTCAGTACGATTAAAATCAGATGTTGTATAGCTAAGCTTACAATCACCAAAACCCCCTGATTAACGGTTGTTTTGTTCAATGAAGATCTTTGCATTAGGGAAACCATAATACTGAATAACAACTGTACCCTTATCACGCTATCTTACAAAAATCTTCTCACATTTGAGATGTCTGCATAGCAAAATGCTTGCAACAAATAACTTTTATTTTTATTGAAATTAATGGCAACCAATCTGTCTAATTTGCAATGATAAACTCCCCCCCCCTCCTTTTTTTCCCCTTCAATAGCACAAATTTGAGAAAGCAAACTGCGAAAGGAAGACAGTTGGTTGACAGCACAAGGTCACTATTATTTCCAAAGTGGTTCTCTGTGGGAAGATTTTTTATAATCAAAGGAACTGCCAAAAGTTACAGAATATTTCTGAAACAGGGGCCCGATTTTAATAGATATATACAATGCTGTAAGGTTCAAAATACGGAACGTATCCTCCTCCTAACCAACTTCCTGAAGAAAACACAACTGACTGACAAAAGAGTTTACAGAAATAATCACAGAAAAACATAGCGACAAAAATAAACAACTCAACAGCCTACTGGTAACAGGACTCGCCAATCAATAACATCGTCTTATTTCACACCTTTAACAAACCCTTAACATGCTATACATTTCACGAAAAATGAAAACAGCATTTGTATATACATTAAAGCTTATGTCGAAATGATTGTGGCATTTTTTGGATTTAGCAAATAGGTAATATGTACAATTAATTTATCAAGCATTATAGTGAATACTAGTTAAATAAATAAAAGAATTAAGGATATTTCCAATCAAGAAATGTTCAGTTGTCTTTCTTCATTAGCAGCAATCACACTTCAGCAGTTTCATCGCAAATTTGGATAGTGCTAAATTCTAATATACAATGCTCCACTCAAAATGATTTGCACACTTATACGTACTATTGAGAGGGAAAAGTTTCTGCAGGAATTGTGTTTAGGCTTTTCATTTTGGAAGTAGAAAAAACAATTTCAATTAAAAATGAAAAAAAAAAAGGAAGAAAAATTAAACTGAAGCAGAAAGATAAATGCAGAGTCTAGGACTTAAGCCATATCACTTTTTGGAAGGGTATATGGAAGGGAAAGAGTTGAATGTTTGAATATTCTACATATGTTTGTTGATAAGTGAAGCAACAACCTTATACTCCTTCCAAGGAGAAAAATTGAAGCCGGATAGGGGCTTATAGCACGGAAGTGTGTTTATTATTGTGAATACAGTATCAATGACCTGTCTAGGTACAATAGCTATATGTATTGCTAAATTGTGTTGTCTAGGGCTCTGTGTTGCTAGGTCAACCTGATTTTGGATTTTAATCAAGAAAAAAATGCTGGAGTCACACGACAGTTCATAGACTGGTCATATGTTTACCAAGGGGAGGTAATCAAAATTTCCATAACCAGTGGTTTACAATTGTACAACTTCACTCCTTAAAAATGTTGCAGACACATTAATTACAGTGTTACATTTAATACACATTACACCAATTTTCTACTTCAATATGACTGGTATCATTCAAACAAATTATAGATACAGGTAAATGTATTGTCCAATATCAGTCATCAAGTTTGGTTCCTTTATTGCATGAAACTCTCCTTTGAACATATGTATCTCAATTTTAAAGACTAATGTACAATTAACATTTAATACTATTTAATAAGCTGATTTTTCATTTATTTATAAAAACTGAATTTATTTGATTAAACAAATTTCTGTTTACTTTTTGTGTTCCTATTTTAGCCAGGATGATAAATTCTTTCACCCACTAAAAATGTGATCTATCTATATTTCATAAATTCTGGTAAATTAGTTTATCAAAATTCAATATTTGACAAAAAAGGCAATGACACCTTGTGAAAAATGAAGTTCTTACTTCAATATCATAAAATAATCAGTTCCTTAAAGGAACTTATATTCAAACTTTTCACATGAAATTTTGGCTAGAATTGGCTAGTAGTAAGATTTAGTTTACATTTATATCAAAGGCAATACTATAGTAATCAGAAATCATATCATATCTTGTACGTATTTCATACGTAGCAAATACAATAAATACAATGCTGTACAATTATTCCATGCCAAGCAAAACTTTAACAATCAATCATGTACAAATAAGAAATTCAGGAACAAAGTCTTCATGCAACTTCATACAGCACTATTTCTTGTCATCTCATACAAACACAGCTAATAACCAAGTTGGGCACAAAATGAATTAATTATTCCATCAATCAACTGAAATCTAACTAATACTATATTCAAAGTTTTCTAAGATGAACAACTTTTTAAATTTATAGAAGTTTGGAACCATTTCATTTGTATTTCCCATACTTGAATTCAATAGCAAATATCTATAACTTACGTAATTTAATTCATCGGGAAACAAATAATCACTGCACCGAACATCTGCTTTATATATGTTACAGGGACCTGGCATAGAACCCTAACATAGTAGTTCACATATATAAACAGATAGTTATAATATATATCTGGCAATGGACGCCGAGTCACTGGGATATACATATTTTTGCTTTAAATGTTTATTTCCAGGAAATCTCATTAAGAACCCAATCTCAGAAATAGAAAGTTTTAAGACAAGTATATATTCAATATGTCTTCCACACGAGTCAATCGTGCATTAACGGATTAATCATTTAACTGGCCGTTTAGGATACATCAGCATCTTCTTGCAAGGAACGATGTACCAACACTAACACATGATCATTCACACTTATTTCACACCTAATTCAAACCTTCATCAATCAAAAGGAAATGACACGTCTTTGTTACTAGCACTCTTCAGATTTTCTGACTTTTTAAAATCTATTTGAGCATATGATAATGTCGGACAAGCTCCTGGTTCATCAGCAGAAGAATGTCGACTTTTTATTCGAGGGGATTTTGGATCGTTGCTATCAACGGTCTCTGACGATCCTAAGTCCAATGAAGCATAATGTAACTGTGTACAACCTGGGGGCGTCAGCTGCTGCTGTGAGGATGACTGTTGGTGGCCAGATTCTAAATTATTCCCCGATGGGTAAGTCATTTGTTCATATGCCCCAGTGAGGTCTGAACAACTATGCCTACTCCTTGGATTGTTAAAGAAACTATTCGTGCTAATAGCAGCACATTGAGCAGGTGCCTCGTCAGCAACCGGCAGAGTCATGCATGGCATACTCTTTTGTTTGTGGAGTTCCGAACCCATTGGACTTTGTCCATTCCCTGCAGCACTGTTTGTTTGCCCTTCCATTGAGTCACATGACCCCTCTTCTTTCTTTCCATTGGTTGCTTCATCACCTAGTGAAGACACACTCCCCTTCCGCACTGGCGACATTCTAACATTTGCTGCCAATTTCTGGTTATATTGCCCGATTGTTGAAGTACTGGCCTTTCGATTATGAGGTTGTCTTTCTGTTCCATCATCTGATTTACTGTCGTCAAGTCCTGATAAAGACACAAGACGTTTTATCGTTACCTTGGAAAGTGACCCCTCAATGTCGCATATCTCACTACGCACAGGTAAAGGACGAAGGTTGTCCACATCCGACTCGATCAACTCCTCCACTGGATCATCTACAGATTTTCTAGAGTTACTGAAATTTAAACCCACATATCCATCATCATCTTCCTCTTCGTGGACAGGAAGTACTGATGTAGCCAGCGACTTAATTTCTAGACGTCTTTCCACAGGTTTGTCATTAGATTTTACCAGTTTTCCTGACCTAGTTTTTGGACTATCACATTTTGGTTTATCTGTAGTGTTACTTTCAGGTTTATTAATGCTAGCGTGCTTTATTGCCACTTTTGTTGAGTTTGGCTGTTCATTTGAAGATTTTGAAACAGTCTTGCTTGACCCAGAACCTGATATATCACTTTCTTCACTGACCTTGCTACTAATGCTAAATTTATCAGACTGACCTTGAACAATTTGACTTTTGGCAATGCTTTGGTTAGAGTTATCTTCAATACAATCTTTTTCCATAGATTTTTCAGCAATGTAGGATCGGACACGGGTAGGATTTTTAACATCTGCTTCACTTTCCTCGATCTGATGAGTAGATGGATCAAACTCCATATACTGATACGACTCCCCTGCCACTCCTCCTGGATTGGTCGGTGTTTTCTCTTGATCCTGATTGGCTAGAGAATTGTCACATGTCTCTCGTTGATTTTCCCCAGATGTTAATGGAGCATGAGTCATATAATCCTCCATGCTTCCTAACGAGAAAACAACCGATTCTTTATTCTCAGACTTAGAACTTGGAGAAGATTTTTGACTGGAGTCTTTACTTTTCTTGACATCTGATTGGCTACACTTGATCACATTTTTGTCCGAGGAAACCTCCGGCTCGAAGTCCATGTAATCACTACTAGGAGAGAGTACAACTGGAGCAGATTTAGATGTGTATGAGGGGACTGATTCAGGCTTCTTCACTGCCCTGGAAAACTCTGCTGGTTTATCACTTTCTTCAGACAGTGTCATTCCAGGTTCATACACCAGGTAAACATCATCTTGAACACTTGTTGTCTTTTGAAATTTGGATTCTGACTTCGGGCTTTGTTTTCCATCTTTTGGACTTATTCTCCCTAACTTTTTACTCTCAGAGCTTTCTTTTTCTTTCTTCTCTTTTTTATCTGAAGATTTCTTTTCACTTTTGTCACTTTTATGTTTCTTTTTCTTCAGAGAAAATCTCCCCGAGTCAGAACCTGAGGAGTCTCTGCCACTAGATCCTTTTAAATTACTGTCAACTTTGTCAGAGGAAGCTGGCTGGTAAGGGACATAACTCTCTTCCTCCGATTCCCTACCAGAACTTGCTGGACTACGACCTTTGACCGAAGGACTGCGTGATCCACCCGATCCTGAATTAAAAGCCACTGGACTGAAGAGAGCTGCTTGGCTTGGAATTCCCTCAGTTCCATGCGTGGTGCTTCCTGTATGATGCGATGGAACAAATCCCATCGGTTTTTGTACAACATGACCAGATGCTTTGATAATTTTGATGTCTGGTGAGGATTTCTCCGGTCGACTAGGGCTAATAAAGCCACTTATAGCTGGTGACGAACTTAAACTCTGTGAGGATGAACTACGCGATGTACCACTACATTTCGAGCCTGCACTTTGGCCTTGACCTCCAATTGACATATCTATGTATCCACTATTTTCAGAGTTTCGATTCATGTTCATATCAACATAATCTGACTGCTGTGAAGACTTGGAAGATGTTTCTAGTTTACGCAGCGACTCTGAAGAAGAAGCTTTCGAAGATGTGGTGGAAAACCTGCCAAGGGATTCAAACGATCGCTTATGTAATAATTCTTTTGAAGTTGTACGTACAGATTCAAAGGATCCCATCTGTTTACCCCCACGAGAACTATGACCATAACTGGATGACCTTGGTCTATGACCTTGCGCATTGTACATTTTTCCAAAACTTGATGCTCGTGGTCTATACCCATAACTTTCACTTGCAGTGCGCGGACGATAAAAATCCAGCTCCATAAAGGAATCTGAATCATCAGATTTGATTGATGCACTGTTTGAAGAGGCGTCCATAGGCATATAGGCTGCAGCCTGATTCTTAATTTTCTGAACTATGAGATGTGGAGCACTGGAACTGCGGCCATTGTCTGTGACTTTCAGATTAAGTGGAACAGAGGGTTCTGTGACATGAGTGTGTCGATGCATCATCTTGCTAGCTGGTCGACTGCCTAGGGAATAAGCTCTTTTGGGGAACTCACCAGACATTGAGTCATCCGACAGATAACTTACAACCTTGGCTGGCTTCAGATCTGCAGCTGATCTTGGACTAATGCCTGTTGGAGTCATGGGAAGATAACTCTCACCACCTTTAAACAGAGATATCAACATCATCAGTGTTATTATTTAGTCTTACAGGTGATTTCTTCATTGACACAAATTTCTGTCTAGAATTTCCCAATGACAACAAATTTCAAAGGGAACATTTAAAATATGAATGTTTATTGAAAACAGGACAAGTTGGCTTTGCTGGACCTGTAGTAAATTTACAACCATATACAGTAAAAACAATTAATTGAATAATAATTCTTATAACAAGACAAGCAGAAGATTAGACTGTAGTGTTTCAATGACTACGCCGTCACTTTCACCAGACAAATGACCAGTGTGGAGCATACATTCACTGATATTCATAGTGAGCGGGACGGTACGGAATCAATGTACTGTTTTGACTATACTATAATCCAATGTACATTAAGGTCGAAGATAGTGTGACAAGGAAATGTTTGGAAAAAAACAACAACCAATCATTATAGGGTTGAGCTAGAAAAAAGTAAAATGTTAAAGTGTGGTTAACATTTCTTGACACCAGTGATGCAAAATTATGTAAGATATAAGATTGTGCTTTTAATTCTGAAGATTTAATTTACTTTGTCAGGGATTTCAAATTTGTAAAAAGTCAATAAGAGCTCCTTTCAATACCAAGATAGCATCTGTTTATTAAAATACCAAGTGCAGTTCTAAATGATGAAATTAAAAAGTTTTTAATGAGTTTTTAGTCTTTATGAATGACAAATATTAAGTCACTTTGATGAGTTTTTAGTCTTAAGGAATGACAAATATTAAGTCACTTTGATGAGTTTTCAGTCTTAAGGAATGACAAATATTAAGTCACTTTCATAAGTCACTTTGATGAGTTTTCAGTTTTAAGGAATGACAAATATTAAGTCACTTTGATGAGTTTTCAGTTTTAAGGAATGACAAATATTAAGTCACTTTGATGAGTTTTTAGTCTTGAGGAATGACAAATATCAAGTCACTTTGATGAGTTTTCAGTTTTAAGGAATGACAAATATTAAGTCACTTTGATGAGTTTTTAGTTTTAAGGAATGACAAATATTAAGTCACTTTGATGAGTTTTCAGTCTTAATGAATAACAAATCTTAAGAAACTTTTTCTCTACAAATGTCTTACAACTGCCTGTGTCTGTGCATGTTTGGACAATTTAGTAATATTTGCTCAGAAATTGGGACGATATTCCTGATTTTGCTTACTTTGGGGAAATAAGACACTTTTCACTACAGGAAGTTAAACCCCAGTTTTTTCATATATATTCCAATAAGACATTGACAGAACTAAAACGGTTGCAACTTATTTGTTATAATGTACAGTAACTTACTTCCGCCTTCCTTGACTGTGGGGAGAGGCTGACTAGTTGGCGTCATGTTCATATCCATGTACCCAGGCTCTTTAGGACCACGTTGTGGAATTGGAACCGACATGGATGATTGTCGGTTTCCATGGTGACCCATCATCATATAGGAGTTGTCCATTCCTCCTACAACATTATGTCATGCTTTACATAATCTTGACGAGGAATTTGAATATTGGCTTGGGAATTCAAAATTTGAACATTTGAATATTAAATTTTACATTTAAAAAAACATCAAGAAAAAATAAAGGAAGAAATGATGAGAAAAAATAATATTGTAAAATTGAATATCTAAGTGGGGTTCATATTTTGTGGTTTTCCAAAAATTAGCATGGATGAATTTTCGCTAAAAAATTCACTTATATTATAATCCCTGTCAATTTTAATATATTTATCATTTCCTGGACATATAAATTCATGGATATAGACCACCCACAAATTTAACAGAAATAAATCCACCACAAAAATTACAGATCTTACAGTAATTAGTGAAGGGAGGTAATTCATCCAGTGTTCACACCAATATCAAAAATTCTTGCATCAAAAGTTTTGCCATACTTAGTTTTCTTTCACCAAATCATAAATTCAGGATCCAAATAAAACCGAGTCATAACATTAGAGGTTAGCTGTTTTCAGATAATCTTACGTTGTCTTTTCCAGATTTGTATAAAATACCTTGCCATTGTATTATGTAACCATTCATAACTTCAAGAAAGGTTTTGTAGTGCCACCTGATTGATTTCATCAAAACTTGGCCTTCAGTTAAACATTTTTCACCAAATAACATGACCTTAATAACACATTAAGCCACTGACACCCATAAAATCTGTCACAAAACGTTTCTCCAACATCATTATGGGAATCATTTGCAAGATTAAAAGTTGTGGATTTTTTTAAGCTATTTAATTTTTCATAAAAAAGTTATTATTTAAATACTAATAAAATATCATTCCAAAGAAATGCATTCTTTCTCTGCATTGTTTTGTGTCCTTATGACCTGTGTGGTGACCTTATGACCTGTGTGGTGACTTTATGACCTGTGTGATGACCTATGTGGTGACCTTTTGACCTGTGTGATGACCTTGTAACCTCTGTGGTGACCATATGACCTGAGATGACCTTATGACCTGAAATGACCTTATGACCTGTGTGGTGACTTTATGACCTGTGTGGTGACCTTATAACCTGTGTGATGACCTTGTGACCTGTGCAGTGACCTTATGACCTTGGGTATTACCTTTTTCCTGGGGTAGGTTTATAGCCATGTCCATATAGCCTGTATCACTTCCTCCAACACTGCTTCCTAACGAACTGCTTGGTTTCATCTCAATGTATCCCTCATGCTTGTTGCCCCCAGAAATCATGATTGCATCAGAGCCTACAAAAAGAGGTATTCATTCATAAATTAACTCCGTAGGTTTTATAAATCTCATCCTCAAATTATTTCCGATAAGGAATCAAATGGACTTATCAATTACCATCATTTAAACTTAAAATATATTTGTAAAATAGATGTGGATTTATTGTGAAAAATTTTGACAGGTACAAAATATTATCACTAAATTAGTACAATGTAAATAGTGAACAAGATCTTTACATCAGGATGTTAACATTGTAATTATCAAAATACTTTTCGCTCTCTATTATTACCAGAAATGGTATCTTACCAATTCTGTCCGTTACAAATGGATGTGGTGGTGAGGGTGTGGTGGATCTCACGCCCGCCCCCGGAGACATGTCAAAGTAAGACGACTCCTCTGTGATTGGTGGACGCATCGAATCCGGGGTCATGGAACGATGTGACCTAATGTATAAACCAATCACATTGATTTCTTTACTACAGAATAAAAAGGTTACAAAAATTGACATCAAGACATTTATATATCACATGCACAGTATTCAATAAATTTTAATAAAATTTCTTGGTGGAAATAAAACACTATTACATCAGACTGTTTGCAATGTTAAATGGGTATTGTAATTTAGTTAAAACATCAGATTCCAAGAGAAATTTTTCGCAAGCACTTATTTCCATTTTGGACTACGAGAAGTTAAAAGTCAAATTTTGAAAGTTCCATCAAATTATTCACAAGAAATACCTAGTTCAATAAGACTTATCTTAATTACCAGGTTTATCTGACAATAAACAAATGTCTGGTAATAAGCCCACCTGTTACTTTTAGAATCAAACTGTGTTGGCCCCATTGTAAGATAAATATGGGACCTTACATTGACATGTATCTCCCTTTCTCAAAGCGACTCATACAGTTTCATGAATTTTGCTTAACTTTGACTTTACCTTAAAATTAGTCATAAGAAAGCAGTACATAAGGAAACGTCTTTTAATTCATTTTTTTTCTTAGCTTACTTCAAGCTTTTTTTATGTGCGTTAAGATTTCCTTAAGAGAAGAAAGATTGATGAAACTTGGGCTAGAATTGAATTACAAGACTTACAACTGATCGCCTGGGCTGGACCCATATATAGACGTGTCAGGTGACAATGCCAGCTGGCTACATCGTGACCCATGTGACCCAGCACTGTCTGAACGGACACGATGACCTTGGTGACCTGGCTGAGTAGGAAAACTCAGAGGTGCATGTGCCATGCACTGATTCTCATAGAAAGGTGGCTGTGAGGCAACATCAAATGAATGAGGGCTGCAATAATCAAATTATCCCTTTAATAATCTAATAACTGAAACACAAATTCCATTCATTAATTTTTTTATTTTCCTTTTTCATTCAGATAAATGAGGATTATCTCTATCTTTGTTTTGAAATTGACTACATCTCTATCTAACTCATATATGTATCACTTCATTCTTCCAGTGTTTTCCGAAGAAGTGATGTAATATTACTGCCTTTTTATAGGTTTTCATTTGATCAATTGTGAAAACTTTCCAAATCTTACAAGAAATTCCAGAATTTGCTAAACTCAAATCCTCTAACATGAACAGTTAAAAACTTTTATAAAAGTTCAGAGATTACAATCATTATAGTTTCATTACAGGAAAATGTTTTACCTACAAAAATATCAGAGAGCATAAGAGAATGAGATGAAGCAGTGTGAAATAAAACAAATCTTAAATTCTGAGGACTTATGAAATTGATTCGATATCTTACTGGAAAGAATTTTGTCCCGAAACAATCTGTGGAGCAGCGTTGTCCATGGTTGTATTGGAAGGTCTATACACCATGGATGACATCGGCCGTCGGCGTGGACTGCCTTGTCCTTGGGTTCGTTGACCTTCACTTCCTGTCCGAGGCCTCAGTGCCGCCTGTCCATTGAAATCATGACTGTTGTCCCTCGGGCGGTTGATAGTTGAGGTATTTGTACTGCTGCGCTGTCGGAAATGGCTCTGATCACTACTGGAAGAGGTTTTCATAGCACTGTGGACAAGAACACATGAAATATCACAAAATTTAAAAAGACAGGAAACTCCAAATTTTATTCATTTTTGGGGGGTTTAATTTTTCACTTTTCAAGGATGAAATAAAATGAAAAGTAGAAAACAATAAGACCTTCATACAAAACATCTGCCCTGTTAGCTTCTGATCAGAAATTTAAACCATACAAAACCCAGCTTTACAGAAATGTTATTGTACTGCAGGTGAATGATTGTTACTCATTAACACACAAAGAAATGTATTTAAGTTATTAGAACTTACTCAATGACAATATTTTAACCATGACAATTACTTAAGTTCAGGAGAGACCTTTCCATCTCAAGTTAAAAAGTCTTAATGAAAAACGAACTGCCAACAGTCAAAAACATGTTACAGCTGATATAATAGAGTAACTATACAAGGCCTTTGTCTTTCTGATGTTGCCATGGTAACTAATGACACATAAATTTTACCAACGCCATCAATTCAAAATCTATGACAATTTGAAAATATCAAGAAGACTTTGAACTACGGAAAGACTTACCTTAAAATAACATCATGCATACTCTTGGCAATGACTGTATCCTCTACCTGAATCCAAAGCTCTCCTTCACCAGTTGGGGCTGACCGTCCAACATCCATGAAGAAGTATCCATCGGAATGACCACACCCTCTGATACTTGACAAAAAAAAAATTGTAGGTGACATAGGTACAATGGTGCCGTTACTTACAGAAGCAGGTAATTTTTTTCCAGTTCCGATGCTTTAGAAAGGTTAAATAGTCAGATTTTACTATAGTATTTTATACGATTTGTAAACACGACAAACAAAAATAGGTATCATTCTTCATGTATGCACAAAATGTAAATAAGAAAAGTCTGATGATTACATTTAGTTCCAAGATTGCTATCTATAAAAACGTTATGAATCTATAGGATTCTTTTCATTTCCAGAGACATTGTATGTTCCAAGATGGACCAGTCTTAGAGAGAACCCATCTATTTATAGGCAAATTTCCTCTTTTCAATAAAGCCTTTGATTTCATCATGGCAATTTTCATTTCTTTCTTCTCTAGTAATAAATAAGGACATAAGTAAGGGATAATTGAATTTTCACTTCTTTTATAGGAATGTCCTTACTTTCTAAATATTTATGAATTTTTTTAAAGTAAGTATTCAGTGTAATTCAAAGTTAAACATTTTACAATAAGCATATACCCATAAAAAGTACTTAATTTACAATTTATAATTACTCCGTGTTTTACCTGAAAGGTGAACTCGAATACATCCGAGTTGTTTCTGATGAGACAGATGTCATTTGTTGACAGACACATGCGATATGTGCCACTCATTCCTGAGATAGTGTACCCAAGACCCCGCTGTTTGATTGTCACCTGCCATACATAATCTGTAGAAAAAATGGAAAGACGATTGCAGGTAACCAAATAATATGCAAAACATGTAGAGTAATGTAACACTGTAAAACAGTCTTTTTAAAATCGGTAATGATAGAATGTAAAAAAATGAAGTTATTGGAATGTTGTTTATTGCTGACTCAAAACCACATCTAGCAAATTATCAGGTGCATTCAATCTATAGAGATGTATACTGCCATGTGAAAACTCCTGAACCTGAATTCACATAATTGTGTTTTGTATGTAATGTTAGCAAACTCACATGTTGATTTTATCTTTGTAATAATATCAATGAATTAAAGCAGTGAAAACTTGGTGGAGCAACATACACTGACAAGTCACACACCATAACTGATTACTCCACACAACAACTGACCACTCAATACAACAATTGACTTATCAACACAACTGACCACTTAAGAAGTCAACTGATCAATCATGCATAATTGACCTCTAATCAGAACAAACGACCATTAAAGACAACAAACAACCACGCAATGCAACAACTGATCATACAATACAATAACTGACCACTCCACACAACAACTGACCACTCAACACTACAACTGACCACTCAACACTACAACTGACCACTCCACACAACAACTGACCACTCCACACAACAACTGACCACTCAACACTACAACTGACCACTCCACACAACATCTGACCACTCCACACAACAACTGACCACTCCACACAACATCTGACCACTCCACACAACAATTGACCACTCAACACTACAACTGGTCAATCATCACAACAACTGACCACTCCACACAACAACTGACCACTCAACACTACAACTGACCACTCCACACAACAATTGACCACTCAACACTACAACTGGTCAATCATCACAACAACTGACCACTCCACACAACAACTGACCACTCAACACTACAACTGACCACTCCACACAACAACTGACCACTCTACACTACAACTGGTCAATCATCACGACAACTGACCACTCCACACAACAAAAGACCATTAAACATGCCAAATGACTGCTCCACACAACAATTGACCATTAAACATAACAAATGACCGCTCCACACTACAATTGACCATTAAACATGACAAATGACCACTCCACACAACAATTGACCATTAAACATGACAAATGACCACTCCTCACAACAATTGACCATGAAACAAGACAAATGACCGCTCCACACAACAATTGACCAGTAAACATGACAAATGACCACTCCACACAACAATTGACCATTAAACATGACAAATGACCACTCCTCACAACAATTGATCATTAAACATGACAAATGACCACTCCTCACAACAACTGACCATTAAACATGACAAATGACCACTCCACACAACAATTGACCAGTAAACATGACAAGTGACCACTCCACACAACAATTGACCATTAAACATGACAAATGACCACTCCTCACAACAACTGACCATTAAACATGACAAATGACCGCTCCTCACAACAAATGACCAGTAAACATGACAAATGACCACTCCATACAACAATTGACCATTAAACATGACAAATGACCACTCCTCACAACAATTGACCATTAAAAATAACAAATGACCGCTCCACACAACAACTGACCACTCATCACAAGAACTGACCACTCAATGAAACAATTTGTAACTCCACAAAATGTCTGGTCACCACAGCTGACCAGTGAATAAATCCTGAGTACACAACAGATTCTACTCTTTAACTACAAAACAATGCGGGCCAGACTCCCACCAATAGTTCAGGAAACTCACCAAAATGTATCCTGGGCGATACAGTAACACCATCTGAATACTCTGTTTGGTACTCCAACAAATATTCCAACCAATGATCTTGCTCCATTGTATTTTCTGCGATGACCGAGAAGCAGTCATCTCGCGTGTACAGGGCAATGACATTTTTCACACGTGTATCCGACTTTTTGTTGATGTTGAAACATGTATGTAGATGTATAACACGTTTAGGTGGTTGACCATTACGGAACTTTTTTTCGCTATCGTAATACTCAAACCTTGCCGGTCCACTACTGCTTGTTGACCGCATCAGGAAGAATTTCTTCTTCATAGTCTGAGAAGATAAAATATAGTCAGCAGGAAATTTATTTCTTTGATAAAAGAGTCCAGTGATAAGAAATCGGTCAAAATCCATAATCAATAATCAGTTATAATCAGATAGGCTTTCCTATAATCAATTACATAATCAGCTGTGTGTTCCATATTCATGGTAATGTCATGTTTTCTTCATTACTTTAAGCTGAATTATCGTACTTACCTAGAATTTGCATAAAAATGAATGTCATTGTCAATTGGAACTTCAATATGTGTAATATGAATTTTTTTGGATAATTTTATAATATATAAAACTTAAATAAAACATACTGAGGTAGCGATAATTTATGGAAAATTATCATCAACTGATGTATCAGATAATCCATCATATCTGATTGTCATTCCATCACTAAATAAACAAGTCTATAAAATCCTTTTTTTCATTTTTAAAGATGTAACACAAAAACCTTATAAGGATTAATCATCACACAACTCACTGCATGAAAGAAAATTCAGCAGACTACCTATCACATAGCTTAAATATACTAACAACGACCATTCATAAAAGTAGAGTGGTTTGGTTGTGTTCTAACTGCTAAACAGCAGGAAGACCACAGAATAATAGATAAAGCTAGTGTCGATCAAATAGATTTAAATAATCATTACTCAATGTTATTTGATATCCTAGTTAGGGGAATTTCCTACAGAACTTGACTACCACACTACTGATGGACAACTAACTATAGTTAGGGGAATTTCCTACAGAACTTTACTACCCACACTACTGATGGACAACTAACTATAGTTAGGGGAATTTCCTACAGAACTTGACTACCACACTACTGATGGACAACTAACTATAGTTAGGGGAATTTCCTACAGAACTTGACTACCACACTACTGATGGACAACTAACTATAGTTAGGGGAATTTCCTACAGAACTTGACTACCACACTACTGATGGACAACTAACTATAGTTAGGGGAATTTCCTACAGAACTTGACTACACCACTATTGATGGACAACTAACTATAGTTAGGGGAATTTCCTACAGAACTTGACTACCACACTACTGATGGACAACTAACTATAGTTAGGGGAATTTCCTACAGAACTTCACTACCCACACTATTGATGGACAACTAACTATAGTTAGGGGAATTTCCTACAGAACTTCACTACCCACACTATTGATGGACAACTCACTATAGTTAGGGGAATTTCCTACAGAACTTGACTACCACACTATTGATGGACAACTAACTATAGTAAGGGGCATTTCCTACAGAACTTGACTACCACACTATTGATGGACAACTAACTATAGTTAGGGGAATTTCCTGTAGAACTTGACTACCACACTATTGATGGACAACTAACTATAGTTAGGGGAATTTCCTACAGAACTTCACTACCCACACTATTGATGGACAACTAACTATAGTTAGGGGAATTTCCTACAGAACTTCACTACCCACACTATTGATGGACAACTCACTATAGTTAGGGGAATTTCCTACAGAACTTCACTACCCACACTATTGATGGACAACTAACTATAGTTAGGGGAATTTCCTACAGAACTTGACTACCACACTATTGATGGACAACTAACTATAGTTAGGGGAATTTCCTACAGAACTTGACTACCACACTACTGATAGACAACTAACTATAGTTAGGGGAATTTCCTACAGAACTTCACTACCACACTATTGATGGACAACTAACTATAGTTAGGGGAATTTCCTACAGAACTTGACTACCACACTACTGATGGACAACTAACTATAGTTAGGGGCATTTCCTACAGAACTTGACTACCACACTATCGATGGACAACTAACTATAGTTAGGGGAATTTCCTACAGAACTTCACTACCCACACTATTGATGGACAACTAACTATAGTTAGGGGAATTTCCTACAGAACTTCACTACCCACACTATTGATGGACAACTCACTATAGTTAGGGGAATTTCCTACAGAACTTGACTACCACACTATTGATGGACAACTAACTATAGTTAGGGGAATTTCCTACAGAACTTGACTACCACACTACTGATGGACAACTAACTATAGTTAGGGGAATTTCCTACAGAACTTCATTACCCACACTATTGATGGACAACTCATTATAGTTAGGGGAATTTCCTACAGAACTTGACTACCACACTATTGATGGACAACTAACTATAGTTAGGGGAATTTCCTACAGAACTTGACTACCACACTACTGATGGACAACTAACTATAGTTAGGGGAATTTCCTACAGAACTTGACTACCACACTACTGATGGACAACTAACTGTAGTTAGGGGAATTTCCTACAGAACTTGACTACCACACTACTGATGAACAACTAACTATAGTTAGGGGAATTTCCTACAGAACTTCACTACCCACACTATTGATGGACAACTAACTATAGTTAGGGGAATTTCCTACAGAACTTGACTACCACACTACTGATGGACAACTAACTGCAGTTAGGGGAATTTCCTACAGAACTTGACTACACCACTATTGATGGACAACTAACTATAGTTAGGGGAATTTCCTACAGAACTTGACTACCACACTACTGATGGACAACTAACTATAGTTAGGGGAATTTCCTACAGAACTTTACTACCCACACTACTGATGGACAACTAACTGTAGTTAGGGGAATTTCCTACAGAACTTGACTACCCACACTATTGATGGACAACTAACTATAGTTAGGGGAATTTCCTACAGAACTTGACTACCACACTACTGATGGACAACTAACTATAGTTAGGGGAATTTCCTACAGAACTTGACTACCCACACTACTGATGGACAACTAACTATAGTTAGGGGAATTTCCTACAGAACTTGACTACCACACTACTGATCGTCAACATCATTATCTGATCAAGTGTTGATTCTTGATTTCTTGTATGATTATCCCATCTACTGAGTTAGTAAAATTTTTTTTCTATGACCAACAATCAGGGCCATTTGAGGATGGATATTACAGGGACACCAACAGTCAGGGCCATTTCAGGATGGATATTACAGTGACACCAACAAGGGTCATTTGAGGACAGATATTACAGTGACACCAACAATCAGGGCCATTTCAGGATGGATATTACAGTGACACCAGCAATCAGGGCCATTTGAGGACAGATATTACAGTGACACCAACAATCAGGGCCATTTCAGGATGGATATTACAGTGACACCAGCAATCAGGGCCATTTCAGGATGGATATTACAGTGACACCAGCAATCAGGGCCATTTGAGGACAGATATTACAGTGACACCAACAATCAGGGCCATTTCAGGATGGATATTACAGGGACACCAACAATCAGGGCCATTTCAGGATGGATATTACAGTGACACCAGCAATCAGGGCCATTTGAGGACAGATATTACAGTGACACCAACAATCAGGGCCATTTGAGGACAGATATTACAGTGACACCAACAATCAGGGCCATTTCAGGATGGATATTACAGTGACACCAGCAATCAGGGCCATTTGAGGACAGATATTACAGTGACACCAACAATCAGGGCCATTTCAGGATGGATATTACAGTGACACCAGCAATCAGGGCCATTTGAGGACAGATATTACAGTGACACCAACAATCAGGGCCATTTCAGGATGGATATTACAGTGACACCAGCAATCAGGGCCATTTGAGGACAGATATTACAGTGACACCAACAATCAGGGCCATTTCAGGATGGATATTACAGGGACACCAACAATCAGGGCCATTTCAGGATGGATATTACAGTGACACCAACAATCAGGGCCATTTCAGGATGGATATTACAGGGACACCAACAGCCAGGGCCATTTCAGGATGGATATTACAAGGACACCAACAGCCAGGGACATTTCAGGATGGATATTACAGGGACACCAACAGCCAGGGCCATTTCAGGATAGATATTAGAGGGACACCAACAATCAGGGCCATTTCAGGATAGATATTAGAGGGACACCAACAGCCAGGGCCATTTCAGGATGGGTGTTACAAGGGAAAACACCAACCAGGGTCAAATCAGAACGGATATTACAGGGACACCAACAGCCAGGGCCATTTCAGGATGGATACTAGAGAGACACCAACAGCCAGGGCCATTTCAGGATAGATATCAGAGGGACACCAACAGTCAGGGCCATTTGAGGATGGATATTTGAGGGATATCAACAACCAGGGTCATTTGAGGATGTGTGTTAAAAGGGAAACCACCAACAAGGGTCATTTGAGGACGGATATTAAAGGGGCACCAACAATCAGGGCCAATTCAGGATGGATATTACAGAGACACCAACAGCCAGGGCCATTTGAGGATGGGTGTTACAAGGGAAAACACCAACCAGGGTCAAATCAGAACGGATATCAGAGGGACATCAACAACCAGGGTCATATGAGAACAGGTGTAAAGAGGGACACATACAGACAGTCATATAAGAGGGTGGATGTTACAAGGGACACCAACAGCCATGGTCGTTTGACGATGTGTGTAAAGAGAGACAAGCAGTGGAAATAAATGATGACAAGAATTAAGTAGATAAGAATGAAAAAGATTGAGATCGCAAGTGTTACAATCAAATCAGCATCTACCATTTATCCCACAGTAGTCGGCTATTGTTTAGTTAAGTCCACGTGGGTACACAACGGTGTTTAGAACATTTAACTTTTAGGTGACTGCGTGAAGTGAAAGGTCATCAGGTACGTTTAATCGCAGTACGCCAGCTTACCTTTAACTTTTTGAGGTAACCGGCCTTTTTTATGTCCGACCCTGGCCGCTCGAACACAAGGGACATTCTTGAGGCCGAATCCATATCTCGTTTTCAGTAGTTCTTCACTCCTTCAGAGCTCATCTCTAAACATGTGGCATGTTTGCGTGTGGGTGAGCCCCACCTTCCCGTGGCTGATCAAGTTCATGGTCAGTCCGTCACAACCGCATCATGTGAACTAAGACATATTTATAATCTTTAGATTCATGGACACTTTAATGCCACAACTGCAATCCATCTGATCACACCATTACGCCAGATTTAAGTGGAGAGGTACAGTGTATTCATGTTAGTCAATAACAGACGGGATAAATACACAGCATTGCAGGTGCCCCACTGATCAAGCTTGGGTGTTGATGTCTTATTGAGGAAACTTAACGACAATCGGAGATAAAAGAAATCAAACGAATATCCGAATACTTCCCTCTGTCCTAATCACGATAAGATTATATATGCCTGTATTCCTGTGTTGTCGAAACAATGTTTACTTAAAACCCCAAGGACGGGGCACATCTCAGTAGCCATATTGGTAGAAGTCACGTGACGAACCGAACAGAGTTGTAAACAAGTCCACTTGCGCATGCGTTGAGGTTGTTGTTTTCATTCAACATTGCATGTCAACAACTGCTTTCCACTGTACACATGACTAAACTTGTGAATGTCGAGGATTTACGATCACACCTTTGTATTTACCCGATTAGTAATTTACAATACGTTCGTTCTTACAATTAAACTACACAGACATTAGAGCCAGTGACTTTAACAGTTATTATGCATAATCAATATATATATGTATATATATATATACGACCACATTCTGTGGGGCTAGTTGACTGTTTTGTAGGACCTTGTGTCATGACGATTGGTAACGTTTTCAATACATAGAGTACAATGGGTAGAAAATTAAGGGTGGCATCAGCTTACAGGTTTTTATTTAGCCCTATGCTACTCAGTTAATTGTACTTCACGTATAAGTAAATCTATTAATTGGGTGAAAATAGAATTTATTTTATCATATAATTGTATAAAACCACGTGACGTCCACTGGATTTCGTAACTTATTATTATCATTACAGTCTTAACGGCCTGTCAATATATAAAAGGTCATTAAGGCCATCAACCGGTGAAACACACAACGATCCAAAATGGGAAAAACACCAAACAGAAAAAGGTAAAAGGTTATATCATCACATAAGATTAAACTGGTAAATCCTAGTCTATAATATAGACCAGTATCTTTCAGATAACCTAGAATTTTACAAAATTCAAAAAAGGGTCTTTAGACTTGTAACGTTAGGATAAAAAAATCTCGAGTAGACAGAGCTTGAGGTCAATGCAGTCCTATAAAAATGTTTAACGATGAACGGCTCATCACATCCTATGCACCGAGGATTATCTTCGCCTTTCAATATGAATGTGTATGGCCCATAGAAAGATGGGAAAGGACAACTTCGTCTCGGTGGTTGTGTACAGCATGGAGACCATTCAACGATGATAGCTTTTACGGAGTGCAATATATTATTAGTATATTCCATTGTCTACTCCATTCCTCCTGCCACGGCGTTAACAAAAACATGTTTGATAAAGGATTTAAAACCACTAAAACGAAGTTTATAAACAACACTACACTCACAAAACACGAACTCTTGGCAGTGGATACATTACATGTGTGTTATCAGCTTAACATTTGAGCAACTTGATTCACGAGCTGTTTCAAAAAGGCGGAAGAAAATTGCATGCCCGCCATTGTAACGCTTTCACAAAACTACAATGCTACTCAGTTTTGACCACTGCACGTTTGGTATTGAAGTAGAGAAGTTAAGGTTGTATAACACATGTAGTTATTTGTCAACAAATTTTGGGAAAAAATGCCTATTCATAATAGTCACTTTATAGTATAAGATTTAAGGTGGTACAGATATTGGGTAGAATCTGGGTCACAAGTGTCTTTGTCATATCTCATAGGGAGATGTATGACTAATATGAAACTGGTTATAATTGGTTCGGATTTGCCTTCATAAAACAATACTTTCCATTATTTCATAAAAAAGTGGACAATCGAAGAAAACCTCGGTTAAACTTTCAGAGTGCAATTGTCCCAGTTTTGATGAAATGTGATTATATTCTCTCTCCACAGTTTTATAGTCTTTTTTACGGATAAAAAATATTCGAGTATTCGTATAACTTCGGCTGTTCGCACTTATACGTTCAAACAAAAAATCTTCAGTGGGTTTCATGGCTGTTGTCAAGTTATCTTTTAGATGAAATAATTCTGACATTGAAAGAAATTGTTTTACTTTCCAGAGTATTCAGACTGTGTCTGTTATTGCTTGTTATCGCCGACTATAAGTGAGGATGAACAAGGGGAAACTTTTCTTATTAGATTGTGTCTAAAAGACGCTGGAGATTGTTTAGCCTAAAATAATATGCAAGGCGTGGAATGTCTCATTAATAATTCCAAAAATGAAAACTCGAACTACAGGGGACCCTCGTTATCTCGAACTCGAATAACTCGAAGACTGTTTCATTCGAAGCATCAGTTTTATCAGGCCTTGATAAGGCTTTACACAAAACATTACAACTCCTTTATATCGAACACTACGCTATCTCGAATTTTCCGCGTGACCCCCACCGATTTCGAGATAACGAGGTTTGTGTCTATTCTTCTGTATGTAGATAACGTTATGGAATTCTCAAATTGTCCAATTCACAAAATGAGGTTTCTCTGTTTAGCGATAATCACGGACGCTGGAAATTAGGTGTTGATTAAACAAAGTTTCCAAAAGTAGATTTGTTAATAGAAGCATTTTCTCAACCACAAATGTAGCTAATGAACGTGTGAACAAATTAGGTACTGTATTCTCGTCGATCTGTTCCTTCCATGACGCTAAAACATTTTTTAAAAACCTCAATTGCTATGTATTATGTTTAGAAAAAAAGACAGAAAAGTTGAATTTATTTATATAAGTTATCATAAGGTAAAAAATTAAACCAAGATAACAACTGCAAGCCCATCATGAAGTTTCATACAAAATACTTTGAATGAATGAGGTCTGATGTATGGCCTTCGAGATAATGTGAACCCACAATACGTAAACTTTAATGTTAAGCAGCACGCGATCAATTTTCGGAAATATATAATAGTGATATCTTAAATTCTTCCATAACAGTTTGATACAAAATTTATAAATAATGACTGTAATTTTTAAAATTCTTTGCTATATTAAAAAGAAAATGAAAGAGATTTGAGGCGTGTTTGTGAAATGACAAGGAATTGATACAAATCATATAGGTGATGAATTTCATTATTCTTTCAAAGTGTTCATCTTTTTCATTTTTTGTATTCTTTGCGGACTGTTGTAAGCACATCGAAATCTTGTAAAGAGAATGAAATAAACAAAGATAATAATTCTCTTGTTATAACCAAGTACAGATGTGGTGACACTAAAAGGGACGAGGGATTCCCACGTCAGGACCAAGGACAGATGTGGTGACACTAAAAGGGACGAGGTTACTTTGTCATATCCTAGAGAAAGACGGAGGGATTTCCCTGTTATAACCAAGTACAGGTGTGGTGACACTAAAAAGGACGAGCTTTCTTTGTCATACCCACGATGGAGACGGAGGGATTTCCTTGTTAGGACCAAGGACAGATGTGGTGACACTAAAAGGGTCGTGGTTACTTTGTCATATCCTAGTTGGAGACGGAGGGATTCCCACGTCAGGACCAAGTACAGATGTGGTGACACTAAAAGGGACGAGGTTACTTTGTCATATCCTAGAGGGAGACGGAGGGATTTCCCTGTTAGGACCAAGTACAGATGTGGTGACACTAAAAAGGACGAGGTTACTTTGTCATATCCTAGTTGGAGACGGAGGGATTCCCACGTCAGGACCAAGTACAGATGTGGTGACACTAAAAGGGACGAGGTTACTTTGTCATATCCTAGTTTGAGAGGGAGGGATTCCCACGCCAGGACCAAGTACAGATGTGGTGACACTAAAAGGGACGAGGTTACTTTGTCATATCCTAGAGAAAGACGGAGGGATTCCACGTCAGGACCAAGTACAGATGTGGTGACACTAAAAGGGACGAGGTTACTTTGTCATATCCTAGAGAAAGACGGAGGGATTCCCACGTCAGGACCAAGTACAGATGTGGTGACACTAAAAGGGACGAGGTTACTTTGTCATATCCCAGAGGGAGACGGAGGGATTCCAATGTCAGGACCAAGTACAGATGTGGTGACACTAAAAGGGACGAGCTTTCTTTGTCATATCCTAGGGGGAGACGGAGGGATTTCCTTGTTAGGACCAAGGACAGATGTGGTGACACTAAAAGGGTCGAGGTTACTTTGTCATATCCTAGAGAAAGACGGAGGGATTCCCACGTCAGGACCAAGTACAGATGTGGTGACACTAAAAGGGACGAGGTTACTTTGTCATATCCTAGAGGGAGACGGAGGGATTTCCCTGTTAGGACCAAGTACAGATGTGGTGACACTAAAAAGGACGAGGTTACTTTGTCATATCCTAGTTGGAGACGGAGGGATTCCCACGTCAGGACCAAGTACAGATGTGGTGACACTAAAAGGGACGAGGTTACTTTGTCATATCCTAGTTTGAGACGGAGGGATTCCCACGTCAGGACCAAGTACAGATGTGGTGACACTAAAAGGGACGAGGTTACTTTGTCATATCCTAGTTGGAGACGGAGGGATTCCACGTCAGGACTAAGTACAGATGTGGTGACACTAAAAGGGACGAGGTTACTTTGTCATATCCTAGGGGGAGACGGAGGGATTTCCCTGTTAGGACCAAGTACAGATGTGGTGACACTAAAAAGGACGAGGTTACTTTGTCATATCCTAGTTGGAGACGGAGGGATTTCCACGCCAGGACCAAGTACAGATGTGGTGACACTAAAAGGGACGAGGTTACTTTGTCATATCCTAGTTTGAGACGGAGGGATTCCCACGTCAGGACCAAGTACAGATGTGGTGACACTAAAAGGGACGAGGTTACTTTGTCATATCCTAGAGGGAGACGGAGGGATTTCCCTGTTAGGACCAAGTACAGATGTGGTGACACTAAAAAGGACGAGGTTACTTTGTCATATCCTAGTTGGAGACGGAGGGGTCAGGACCAAGTACAGATGTGGTGACACTAAAAGGGACGAGGTTACTTTGTCATATCCTAGTCAGGGATTCCCAAGGAGGACCAAGTACAGATGTGGTGACACTAAAAGGGACGAGGTTACTTTGTCATATCCTAGAGGGAGACGATTTCCCTGTTAGGACCAAGTACAGATGTGGTGACACTAAAAAGGACGAGGTTACTTTGTCATATCCTAGTTGGAGACGGAGGGATTCCCACGTCAGGACCAAGTACAGATGTGGTGACACTAAAAGGGACGAGGTTACTTTGTCATATCCTAGTTGGAGACGGAGGGATTCCCACGTCAGGACCAAGGACAGATGTGGTGACACTAAAAGGGACGAGCTTTCTTTGTCATATCCCAGAGGGAGGGATTCCCACGTCAGGACCAAGTACAGATGTGGTGACACTAAAAGGGACGAGGTTACTTTGTCATATCCTAGAGGGAGACGGAGGGATTTCCCTGTTAGGACCAAGTACAGATGTGGTGACACTAAAAAGGACGAGGTTACTTTGTCATATCCTAGTTGGAGACGGAGGGATTCCCACGTCAGGACCAAGTACAGATGTGGTGACACTAAAAGGGACGAGGTTACTTTATCATATCCTAGTTGGAGACGGAGGGATTCCCACGTCAGGACCAAGGACAGATGTGGTGACACTAAAAGGGACGAGCTTTCTTTGTCATATCCCAGAGGGAGGGATTCCCACGTCAGGACCAAGGACAGGTGTGGTGACACTAAAAGGGACGAGGTTACTTTGTCATACCCACGATGGAGACGGATTCCCCTGTTATAACCAAGTACAGATGTGGTGACACTAAAAGGGACGAGCTTTCTTTGTCATATCCCATAGGGAGACGGAGGTATTCCCACGTCAGGACCAAGTACAGATGTGGTGACACTAAAAGGGACGAGGTTACTTTGTCATATCCTAGAGAAAGACGGAGGGATTCCCACGTCAGGACCAAGTACAGATGTGGTGACACTAAAAGGGACGAGGTTACTTTGTCATATCCCAGAGGGAGACGGAGGGATTCCAATGTCAGGACCAAGTACAGATGTGGTGACACTAAAAGGGACGAGCTTTCTTTGTCATACCCACGATGGAGACGGAGGGATTTCCTTGTTAGGACCAAGGACAGATGTGGTGACACTAAAAGGGTCGAGGTTACTTTGTCATATCCTAGAGAAAGACGGAGGGATTCCCACGTCGGGACCAAGTACAGATGTGGTGACACTAAAAGGGACGAGGTTACTTTGTCATATCCTAGAGGGAGACGGAGGGATTTCCCTGTTAGGACCAAGTACAGATGTGGTGACACTAAAAAGGACGAGGTTACTTTGTCATATCCTAGTTGGAGACGGAGGGATTCCCACGTCAGGACCAAGTACAGATGTGGTGACACTAAAAGGGACGAGGTTACTTTGTCATATCCTAGAGGGAGACGGAGGGATTTCCCTGTTAGGACCAAGTACAGATGTGGTGACACTAAAAAGGACGAGGTTACTTTGTCATATCCCAGAGGGAGAGGGAGGGATTCCCACGTCAGGACCAAGGACAGGTGTGGTGACACTAAAAGGGACGAGGTTACTTCTAGAGTGTGAGAAATGGTTATGACAACGTACTTCAAACCAAAGGGGTTGAAATCTTCTTAACTATCTAAGGATATCACTTTCCGATACAGACATTGTGTTTCACGACTATTCATTTGGCTAAGGACAGAATCATACTACCCTGGTTATAAAGTGGCAAATATATTTTACACGAATCCATCAATTGCAAATAATGATAAATGGTATAATTAAACAAGAGGCCCGTTGGGCCTGGTCTACAGATTATATATGCTCGGGCGTCCTTAAAAAGACAACTTTCAGGATTCTCCCAGTTCGACAAGGTTATCTCAGCTTAGCTTGCTATCACAAACAGCAACAGGGATATCCCAACTTAGCTTGCTATCACAAACAGCAACAGGGTTATCCCAACTTAGCTTGCTATCACAAACAGCAACAGGGATATCCCAACTTAGCTTGCTATCACAAACAGCAACAGGGATCCCCCAACTTAGCTTGCTATCACAAACAACAACAGGGTTATCCCAACTTAGCTTACAATCACAAACAGCAACAGGGTTATCCCAACTTAGCCTACAGTCACAAACAGCAACAGGGTTATCCCAACTTAGCTTGCTATCACAAACAACAACAGGGTTATCCCAACTTAGCTTACAATCACAAACAGCAACAGGGTTATCCCAACTTAGCTTGCTATCACAAACAGCAACAGGGTTATCCCAACTTAGCTTACAATCACAAACAGCAACAGGGTTATCCCAACTTAGCTTACAATCACAAACAGCAACAGGGTTATCCCAATTTAACTTACAATCACAAACAACAACAGGGTTATCCCAATTTAGCTTGCAATCACAAACAGCAACAGGGATATTCTAACTTAGCTTACAATCACAAACAGCAACAGGGTTATCCCAACTTAGCTTGCTATCATAAACAGCAACAGGGATTCCCGAACTTAGCTAACAATCACAAACAACAACAGGGTTATTCAGCTTATATACACAAAATCAACAACGCTATTTGTAACAACAGGGTTATCCCAACTTTCACAAACAGCAACAGGGTTTTATCAGTTGTTTCTGTGTAATCTCTCTCCAATCACAAACAGCAACAGGGTTATCCCAACTTAGCTTGCTATCACAAACAGCAACAGGGTTATCCCAACTTAGCCTACAGTCACAAACAGCAACAGGGTTATCCCAACTTAGCTTGCTATCACAAACAACAACAGGGTTATCCCAACTTAGCAGTCACAAACAGCAACCGTGCAAACCCAATCACAAACAACAACAGAGTTATCCCAAACTTAGGACTATCACATTCCAGTACAATCACAACAACACAGGTTATCCCAACTTAGCTTGCAATCACAAACAGCAACAGGGTTATCCCAACTTAGCTTACAATCACAAACAACAACAGGAATCCCCCAACTTAGCTTACAATCACAAACAGCAACAGGGTTATCCCAACTTAGCTTACAATCACAAACAGCAACATGGTTATCCCAACTTAGCTTACAATCACAAACAACAACAGGTGTACAACCCAACTTAGCTTGCTATCCATAAACAGCAACAGTGTGTATCCCAAATAAGCGTTCTATCACAAACAACAACAGGGTTATTCCAACTTAGCTTACAATCACAAACAGCAACAGGGTTATCCCAACTTAGCTTGCTATCATAAACAGCAACAGGGTTATCCCAACTTAGCTTGCTATCACAAACAACAACAGGGTTATCCCAATTCAACTTGCTATCAAAAACAGCAACATGGTTATCCCAATTTAGCTTGCAATCACAAACAGCAACAGGGATATTCTAATTTAGCTTACAATCACAAACAGCAACAGGAATATCCCAACTTGGCTTGGTAGATATCTTAAGCTGGTTTGCTTTGACAGTCAGCAACAAGGGATTTCTTATATACCAAAATCAACAACGCTATTTGTAAATCGGCTTGCTGCGTTTTATCAGTTGTTTCTGTGTAATCTCTCTCCCAGTCAGCAACACGAGTATCCCAAACAGACTTCACATTCCAGTCAGCAACAGAGGCTGTGCAAACCCAAACAGCAACACGAGTATCCCAAACGGACTTCACATTCCAGTCAGCAACAGAGGCCGTGCAAACCCAAACAGCAACACGAGTATCCCAAACGGACTTCACATTCCAGTCAGCAACAGAGGCCGTGCAAACCCAAACAGCAACAAGGATATCCCAAGTTTGCTTTTAATCCAAGTCAGCTATGTGGGAATCCCAAATCGACTTGCTATCGTAAACAGCTACATGGTTCGACAATTGCACTGCTCTCGTAGGTAGCAACTGGTGTACAACCTTAATTAGCTTGCTATCCTAGCAAAGCACGTGTGTACCAAATAAGCGTTCTATCACTAACAACAACAGGAGGTATTCCAAATTAGCTTGCAATCACGAACAGCAACAGGGGTATTCCGAATTGGCTTGCTTTCACGAACAGCAACAGGGGTATTCCGAATTGGCTTGCTTTCACGAGCAGCAACAAGAATATTCTGAATTGGCTTGCTTTCACGAACAGCAACAGGGGTATTCCGAATTGACTTGCAATCACGAACAGCAACAGGGGTATTCCGAATTGGCTTGCAATCACGAACAGCAGCAGGGGTGTTCCGAATTGGCTTGCTTTCACGAACAGCAACAGGGGTATTCCGAATTGGCTTGCTTTCACGAGCAGCAACAGGGGTATTCCGAATTGGCTTGCTTTCACGAGCAGCAACAGGGGTATTCCGAATTGGCTTGCTTTCACGAGCAGCAACAGGGGTATTCCGAATTGCCTTGCTTTCACGAACAGCAACAGGGGTATTCCGAATTGGCTTGCTTTCACGAGCAGCAACAGGGGTATTCCATGGGGTATGATGACAATTTTTCGAGTGTTTCCTTTTCATGTACAGTATTAAGAAACAGAGAGAAGATTAAGGACGATAACAAAATCTCCATGTCGTGTTTTCTGAGAGAGAAAAAAACCACACGCACACAGCCAAACAATTTATTCGACAAATCCGGATTAGGCTATCGTTGAGCAATTGCCTCCTACACAACATGTACACAAGCAGTTACTTATACATAACACCTTTGTTATAGGAAACTGATGTGTGTAATGGTGGTAAAATACCCTCGTATCTGTAGACATCTAACAACAGATGAAGCTAATATGTTAGTAAGGTAATTTTGTGGTGTGAATTCAATTCTTTGCTAACTCTTCCTATCGAATTGATCACTTCCGCTCACCTTTTTATCCGAAATGACGAATCAATTCTAAAACAACTGTTTGACTCGTGGAAGTGAAAATCAAAACATGATTACCGGTTTTAATTTGAATATCATATTTATATAACTGACAACTCCTGTGTAAGTAAATTGTGACCGGTGTCTCAGGGACTGATAGAAAAGATGAAAGTAAATAAGATCTAAATATATTTTGGGTTCATTAACCGTGTTGTTTACTTTTAAGTACAGCATGATGCAAAACATCCGGTAGGGCTCACAATTATAATGCAGTTTTTGTATATATATGACGTCAATCAAATCACCACTGAAAGAGTTTAAGGTAGAGAGTCCCGCTACTCATTAGTGGACTTCAACAACAGAAGAGTTCTATTTGATGGTCCATCCATTCAGATTTGTTAATTTAATGACTATATTGTTTAAAGGATCTCTTGATGGAATAGTGACTATGAGAGACTGGTTTTAATGGTCAGACTGGTGTTATAGGCAATATTAGAAATCTGACAGTTTTTAAATTAGATATCTCATGTATCAAAAATCGTTATCGAAAGGCATTTTTCTTTCATTTTTTCCTATTAAATTTCATAATGTTTTAGTAGCATTTTCTGTGTTGGTACTTTTTATCAAAAAATAAAACAAAGCAAAAACAAACAAAAAAATCATACGAAAAAAAAAAATTGAAAAAATCAAATAAAAAAATCATACGAAAAAAAAAATTGAAAAAATCAAATCAAATCAAATCATATGCGTTCATTGGACCACATTTTGTACATAAAGATAATTCGTATACCAGGGTTTCCGATGTACATTGTCGAAGTCGGAACGAGATTTCGAACCTTTACTTACATGTGAAAAACGATAGGAGACTCTTCCTTAAGACTTTGACAAATGACCGACTTATTCTTGTTTAGTGAGTACTTGCTGAAATAAAAATGTGAAATATCACACTTCATTTTATATTGACAGCCGTTCTAAACTTTAAAGCACGCCAGCGATACAAAAATAAATCTGCCGCACCTACTCTCTGTAACCGCAATCTCGTAGTCCTAGCTGTTTGCTGATTTATATAAATAATTATCAGGCATCTGTCGTCATCAACATGTAACCGGCTGGAACGCAGACCAAAATCTCTACCCTACAAAAAGTGATAAATGGATGTCAATATTCACATTTATTATGCGGTTATTAATTTTCAAATTTTTTGTTATTGTATTTTAGAAACGCACTGGAATAGCGTATACTTAGCTAACTATAAAGTCTGGAAAGGTAAGCGAGGTAATAAACATGTTTTGCTTAGAACTGAACCCAAGATATAAAGGACTGCAGCCATGGTGAACAGATGCATAGATCACAGATAAACAAGATCTATGCATATTGTATTGTACCTGTTTATAAGCGAGCTTAATGCCTGTGCATGCTGGATGCATGTCTGCCAGTTTTATAAAAACACCTCATTGTCTCTATAATGAGCATTTATCAGTATAAATGTAAATATTTAATGACAGCAGAAGGAACGTGGATATTGAAATTCAATTGCCATTTTAGAGACAAAACTTTTCGACCTTACTGCGATGTGTTCTGTGTCCAGGTTAGATAAATCCCATGCGTGGCCCCATCATCTTTGTACACGGTCACTATAGTTATTAAAGTGTATGGCCTTGAATGTTTCCAAAACGGAAAATAACAAATAAACAAACATTTGTTTGATCTAAGGAAGAAATATCAAACATATGTACGTCATAGGTGTTTGGTTTCAAATGGGGTGACGTCGATTTATTTTAATGACTTAAAAATACTTTTAAATCCAATTTTTAAATGTCTCGTGCACAAGGTTGTTTTTGTTTTCTATGCTTGTGCAGTAACATAATTGATATCATGTTACCCACAATATGACAAGAAAAGGGATCTAGGTCAAAGCAAACATCCGAAGAAAACAACATTAATTCATGTGACACGAGGTTTTTCAGAAGAGTGTGGGAAATCATTCTGTTTGCATGTTTACTTCAATATCGTGTAAATCAGTTAAGCTTCTCAAAATGTTTATGTTTCTGAAAGTTCATACCAACCGACGGAATTAAAAAAAGATATTAATGCCATACAGCTGAAATGGTGCTCGAACTTTTTGTAAATCAAGGACAATACGACTCTTTCAAATGAGCCGCGTACCTCGAGCTACAACGAAACCAGTATTGACAGCTTTCTATCAAACTGTGCGACACGTGTGATGATTTCAATTTCCCTATTGTGAATTTTCCATTTATAGATAGCAACTTCAGTGAATCCCAATGGTGTTTTTATGTACAGTTGATACAATATTCTAGTGCTTCTCACCAGTATCACGATTTTCGTGCAAGATGGCGATAAACTCACAAACAGTGTTTCAAGAAAACATCGTTGGCAAGTTTTACGGTTGTCATAGTGATCTCATTGATAAATACTCTGTTTCTTTGAGAGATTTGTACATAGTGGTTCCATCATTGTTTACTTTTGTTCTTATTTTGGAACGTGGCCATACTTTTTTGGATTGACCAAGATTTGCATGGCGGGTTTCGTCGACGAAGTAGAAGACGCTAACTGTTCAGGAACACCTGGTCTTATTATTCTTGTGTTTTTCAGGAGTCTTCGTGTAGTTATTTCTTTCGTTCATATTATGTCCTGTTTGTGATTGAAGAGAGTAGTGATGCTGAATTTTTTATTTTCATTTTTATTCGTTTGTTTTTTGTTTTGTATGGTTTTTCATCTTTCTTATGAATGAGGCGGCCTATGTGGACTGCATGGCTAACAAATCTCCGAAGATATTATTTTTTAAAAAGTTCATCTCTAATACCAAGTGTTAGTTGCAAAAGTCGTTATAAAATTGTACAACAACTGATAAGATACAGCTCCGGTATACTATTTAGTGGTAAACAAAACTATTATATGATATACCACGATTTACTATATATGCTATTTAAAGGTCATTTACTACATGTTAAGGTTGAAGGTGAAATCCGTCGAATTAACATTCCTGTAACATTTCCCAATGTGCATTTAGACTATCAGAAATATGATAATTTCTATTACACACAATCTGCTGTCAGATATTTCTCCATAAAGGCCTCTCACATAGATGTAGAAATAACAGCACAACAAGAGGCACAACAGGGTTGTATCCCTCGGCTTGTCTTGTAGTTTATAAATATGATGTCAGCGAAAAAGTTAACTTTGGTAATTATACTGTTCATCCCATACTTCTTTACCGTATGTTGCAAGTGAAATAATAAGTTCCAGGCCTGCTTAGTTGTTAGTATATGTAGACTTATCTGAACCTTTTAACATTGTATGTAGATCACAATATTCATTTGAACTTGACAGTCCTTTATGTTAGCATGTCTTCTAAAGGTCACCACCACCACCACCACAACAGCACAGGGCATTCCATGAACTCAAGTTTCCTGCGAAACACAAACCATCCTGTACAGTGATTGAACCACATACCTGGGATCTTTAACTGAGACACACAAAATATCCTTGGCAGTGATTGAACCCCATACCTAGGATCTTTACCTGAGACACACAAACCATCCTGGACAGTGACTGAACCACAAACCTAGGATCTTTAACTGAGACACACAAACCATGCTGGACAGTGACTGAACAACATATCTAGGATCTTTAACTGAGACACACAAACCATCCTGTACAGTGACTGAACCACATACCTGGGATCTTTAACTGAGACACACAAACCATCCTTAGAAGTGATTGAACCCCATACCTAGGATCTTTACCTGAGACACACAAACCATCCTGGACAGTGACTGAACCACAAACCTAGGATCTTTAACTGAGACACACAAAATATCCTTAACTGAGACACACAAACCATCCTGGACAGTGACTGAACCACAAAAATTTTAACTGAGACACACAACTAGGTTAATAGTGAGGACCTGAACACATTTCTAGGATCTTTAACTACACACAAACCACCTGGGATATTTAACTGGACACACTACTCTGAACACACAAAATAATGACAGAGATCTTTACCTGAGACACACACACTAAAGTGATCAATAACTGAGACACACAAACTGCTGGACATGTCTTCTAAAGGTCACCACCACCACCTGAGACACACAAACCATCCTTGGACAGTGCATTGAGACACACAAACCCACCACAAACCTAGGATCTTTCCTGAGACACACAAACCATCCTGTACAGTGACTGAACCACAAACCTGGGATATTTAACTGAGACACACAAACCATCCTGGACAGTGATTGAACAAACTAGGACACTGAGACACACTGGCAGTGGAACCCCATCTAGGATCTTTACCTGAGACACACAAACCATCCTGTACAGTGACACACAAACTGAGACACACAAACCATCCTGGACAGTGATTGAACCCCATACCTAGGATCTCTACCTGAGACACACAAACCATCCTGTACAGTGACTGAACCCCATACCTAGGATCTTTAACTGAGACACACAAACCATCCAGGACAGTGACTGAACCACAAACCTGGGATATTTAACTGCGACACACAAACCATCCTGTACAGTGATTGAACCACATACCTGGGATCTTTAACTGAGACACACAAACCATCCTGGACAGTGACTGAACAACATATCTAGGATCTTTAACTGAGACACACAAACCATCCTGGACAGTGACTGAACCCCATACCTAGGATCTTTAACTGAGACACACAAACCATCCTGGACAGTGACTGAACCACAAACCTGGGATATTTAACTGAGACACACAAACCATCCTGGACAGTCACTGAACCACAAGCCTAGGTTCTTTAACTGAGACACACAAACCATCCTGGACAGTGACTGAACCACAAGCCTAGGATCTTTATCTGAGACACACAAACCATCCTTGGCAGTGATTGAACCACAATCCTAGGTTCTTTAACTGAGACACACACCCCATCCTGGACAGTCACTGAACCACAAGCCTAGGTTCTTTAACTGGGACACACAAACCATCCTGGACAGTATTTGAACAACATAAAGTCTAGCACTGAAATACAGCACTGATCAAAACCAACATTTCTTAGTCACTTAACAACAAAGTGATAAGCGACAGTGAGAGTAAGCTTTGGAGTATTGAGGATGGGTTGAGGACAGCGACAGTGAGAGTAAGCTTTGGAGTATTGAGGATGGGTTGAGGACAGCGACAGTGAGAGTAACCTTTGGAGTATTGAGGATGGGTTGAGGACAGCGACAGTGAGAGTAACCTATGGAGTATTGAGGATGCGTTGAGGACAGTGACAGTGAGAGTAACCTTTGGAGTATTGAGGATGGGTTGAGGACAGCGACAGTGAGAGTAAGCTTTGGAGTATTGAGGATGGGTTGAGGACAGCGACAGTGAGAGTAACCTTTGGAGTATTGAGGATGGGTTGAGGACAGCGACAGTGAGAGTAACCTTTGGAGTATTGAGGATGGGTTGAGGACAGCGACAGTGAGAGTAAGCTTTGGAGTATTGAGGATGGGTTGAGGACAGTGACAGTGAGAGTAACCTTTGGAGTATTGAGGATGGGTTGAGGGCAGCGACAGTGAGAGTAAGCTTTGGAGTATTGAGGATGGGTTGAGGACAGCGACAGTGAGAGTAAGCTTTGGAGTATTGAGGATGGGTTGAGGACAGCGACAGTGAGAGTAACCTTTGGAGTATCGAGGATGGGTTGAGGGCAGCGACAGTGAGAGTAAGCTTTGGAGTATTGAGGATGGGTTGAGGGCAGCGACAGTGAGAGTAACCTTTGGAGTATTGAGGATGGGTTGAGGGCAGCGACAGTGAGAGTAAGCTTTGGAGTATTGAGGATGGGTTGAGGACAGCGACAGTGAGAGTAAGCTTTGGAGTATCGAGGATGGGTTGAGGACAGTGACAGTGAGAGTAACCTTTGGAGTATTGAGGATGGGTTGAGGACAGCGACAGTGAGAGTAAGCTTTGGAGTATTGAGGATGGGTTGAGGACAGCGACAGTGAGAGTAACCTTTGGAGTATTGAGGATGGGTTGAGGACAGCGACAGTGAGAGTAACCTTTGGAGTATCGAGGATGGGTTGAGGACAGCGACAGTGAGAGTAAGCTTTGGAGTATTGAGGATGCGTTGAGGACAGTGACAGTGAGAGTAACCTTTGGAGTATTGAGGATGGGTTGAGGACAGTGACAGTGAGAGTAACCTTTGGAGTATTGAGGATGCGTTGAGGACAGTGACAGTGAGAGTAACCTTTGGAGTATTGAGGATGCGTTGAGGACAGTGACAGTGAGAGTAACCTTTGGAGTATTGAGGATGGGTTGAGGACAGTGACAGTGAGAGTAACCTTTGGAGTATCGAGGATGGGTTGAGGACAGCGACAGTGAGAATGACCTTTGGAGTATCACAGATGTGTACTTACATACTTCACAAAACACAAAATAATTCCTGTGCAAAACGGATATTAATCACAACATACTCACGTGTTACCAATAAGAGGGTGTTTCCTTTATTATGTCTACTAGTTTCGCCTCTGAAGTTGAGGCTTCATCAGGACAAAATTTATGATGAATTTATCTCCTGAAGTACTCTCAGGGAGGAAAACTTTCCATTGTGACGTAATATACAATGGACAATACTGTGACTTATAAATATATAATACTTGATAGTAGGATGGTATGAGTTGAGTGCCTTTAGGAAGGAGGTTAGTTCCTCTCGGGTGTGGGGCCACACGGATCTGACGGATCCGAGGATGCAGGGGCTCCGATATATATACAATCGTCTCCTTTTGAAGTTCTTTAAAATAATACCTGAATACAGAGCTGCATTTTTTCTTATATCAGAGAGGAAGAAGTCAAATTTACATTTGTTTTGCAATTTTTTTTACTGTGCTGCCAGGTTTGAAGAATTTGTTAATTTGTCCTCTAATTCATTGTAATGTCTATGTAATGTTTTAACTTGTTCTTCAAAGTCTTTATCAATATTTTCACATCTCTTCAGCTGTCTGTTTGTATAAACCTCCCAATCCTTGTTTCGTCTTTGTCTGCCTTCCTCTAGAACTGAGCTCTGTAAAACCAGGCAAAGTGTGTGAAATTATTAATTGACAACTGAGTGAACTCGAAGTGAATATTTCATCCATTTAATTAAGTTCTTAATAGTTTAAAACTGCAATTCACTGACAATAGACAGACAATAGTCAGACAAAAGACAGAGGCAGAAGATAAATATTATTATATTAGACAGACAACAGACAATAAATATTCTGATAATAGCAACACAACAGAGTCAGTAGAATTACATAAGACAGACATCAGGCAGACAATGGACAGAAAAAAGATGTAACAGTCAGTATTCAGACAATAGAGAGACAATCCACAGACAATAGTCAAAAAGTCAAACAAAAAACAGACAATGGACAGAGACTGTAGACAGATATTACTGTTTACAACAGACAACATACAGTCAGACAATAGTAATACAACGGAGACAGCAGACAGGGTCAATAGACAAACATCAGACAGACAATAGTCAGACTGTAGACAGATATTACTGTTCACAACAGACAACATACAGTCAGACAATAAATAGTAACACAACGGAGACAGCAGACAGGGTCAAAAGACAAACATCAGACAGACAATAGTCAGACTGTAGACAGATATTACTGTTTACAACAGACAACATACAGTCAGACAATAGTAATACAACGGAGACAGCAGACAGGGTCAATAGACAAACATCAGACAGACAATAGTCAGACTGTAGACAGATATTACTGTTTACAACAGACAACATACAGTCAGACAATAGTAATACAACGGAGACAGCAGACAGGGTCAAAAGACAAACATCAGACAGACAATAGTCAGACTGTAGACAGATATTACTGTTTACAACAGACAACATACAGTCAGACAATAGCAACACAACTGAGACAGCAGATAGGGTCAATAGACAGACATCAGACAGACAATAGACAGACAATAGTCGGACTGTAGACAGACAAAATCAGACAATAGACATGGTCAGAAAATAGAGTAAACAGAAACACAACACAAAAATAAAGTTAATGGAAAGCCAACAGAAACTCAATTCACAGACAACAGACCAGGCAAAAGCCAAAACAAAAGAGAAAAATCAACAGAGGCAATAGCAGACAAAATACCAGAAATTGATAAATAAATTGTCTGACCAAAAGACAGACAACTGACAGTCAAGACTGACAACAAATAGACAGACAATAGACAGAGACCAACAGACAGACAATATATATAATAGAGAGAATTAGACAAGAAAAAGGCAATAAACAAACAACAGAAAGGACAAGTGACAAAAACATGTAACTGCTGAACAATAGACAGAAAAGCAAAATACAAAAAAAAAGACACCAGACCAACAACAGTCGGACAAGTGACACTAAATAACAGAAGATGGATGGAAGAGACAAATAGAATCCTTACCTCAACACTGTTTCCTTTTTCCTCTATTTTGTAGCAGACTTCTGTGGCTACTTTCACTTTGAAATAAACAAAATTCATGTCTTTTTTTAAATCATGGAATCTACATGATATCGCTTTCATAAAATATTTTTCTAATTAAATATAAAAATATATCACTGAAACCTAAATTTTTAAGCCATTTTTATGGCATCATGATACAAATCAGCAAAGAAGCCTAAAGTGTTTATCTCCAAGTATAAACTGAGTCTGTTACACTATCTTTCCCATTAAAACTTAAGCAGAACTGACACTTATTACATCAAAATCATATATTACATATTTACTGGTTCTGACTTCGTTTTCTGCTGGAAGCTTTAACACTTACATCACTTAATCATTCAATGAAATCGATGTCACTGAGGTAAAATACTAGCCACAATATACCCCTTGGTTTGAGAGAACTTCTCTTTAGCTCAATCAGTTGAATGTCAGACTAGCAAGACAGGGGTTCTGGGTTGGAATCCTAGCAGAGGTATTGGAACTTGGAAATAATACTAAGCATTACTTTCACAAACCTTTACAGAAACTTGAGGACGAAATATTCCCTGGATGGGGAGTATGGATCCCTGGTAAAATTTTAGGTGCAATATGCGCCTTGGTTTGAGAAAATTCCTCTAGCTTGATCATATTAGTAAACTAGAGGTCCCGGGTTTGAATCATAGTGGAGTTAAAAATCATAAACACTCACACTTGGCTGATACATTAGCAAGATACACTTGCATGGCATCCAAACTTTCTGGCAGCAACGTTTCGTTCATTTTCATGATCTCTTTTGAAATTTTATCCAATCTCTCCTGTTCCCTGTCACCTCTCTTCTCCTGTACAGACAAAGGATGGACATAAACCATGAATCTTTTAAAATAAAAATAAAAATTACCAACATTGATTTGATAAAAACATGGCATCTTACCTCAAACTCTTTGATGAAGTAGTTGATGTGACCTTGTAATACAGGACGATGATCTAACAGTCTGGCATGAAGTTCAGAAATATCTAAAAAAGAAATAACGTTTTACTTAACAGTTTTAAAATCACACATATCATCATATGCTTATGGTATCAGAGACATTTTGGACTAAAAAATTTGGCTCATATTTTTCCTTCAGGAATCCTCTATATTTCTTTGTAACTAGACTCATCAAATTTTTGGAAACAGTGCTATGAAATTATTGGCCATTTGTGTAAACTGACATCTGATGTATATTGGCATACAACAATACAACACATGACAATGAGGATAACACAGGAATGAATTTTGAAAAGTTCTACAGCTTCAAATGTAATCCTAAATACAAATTTCCAAATGTGTAAGAGTTTCGAGCCATTTGTCCATCAAAATGCCTAAAATTTGGTGTTTGAGCCAGAGAAAACTCGGGTACTAGATTTAGATATTTATATTTTAAATCAGTCAATATCAGAAACCATTTCCATATCAGCACTGATACCGGATTCATGTGATCGTTTGTTACTTACATCTAAATTGGAAAAGGAAATCAATTTTGGAAGTTTGATAATTATAAATCATTTTGACACAAAATATACATTCAGATGTGATAACTTTACTGTATGTGTGCGTGTAACAAAACCCCATATTTACATCTGGATTTACTGTATGTGTGCGTGTAACAAAACCCCATATTTACATCTGGATTTACTGTATGTGTGCGTGTAACAAAACCCCATATTTACATCTGGATTTACTGTATGTGTGCGTGTAACAAAACCCCATATTTACATCTGGATTGTGAACAACTCAAGTAAAAATCTACAGTAAATTATACATCATAAATTATAAAGAACGGTCGTATATATAATTTCCAAATTCTAATGTGTGACGTACATACGTGAATTGTACATTTTACTTCATTTTTACTGTGTCGTTTGTAATACAGAATGGCGTCTGTCACAAGTGAACACAGGTTCACATGCTAACAATAAATCCCCGTTTCAGTGTCTTTATAATATTACGTTACAGTAAAACGTTTCCTTGTTCTCACCTTTCACGACTTGTTCGTTCAGCATGCTGAGTGGCTATATTATCCTCTTGTTCGGTGCAAAACGAAAGTTGGTGGGCTACTACCCACCCACCCACCACAGCAATCTACGTCATTTATACGCTTGGCAAATTTTACGTTCAAAATGGGATCACACTAAGTAACTGAGTGATCGCCCGAAAGGATCACAACATAACGGACGGATTTGATTCACTTTCCAAATATGAAATAAAAGGGCCTTATTGTTAAAAAACAGAATATATTGGAAACGATTTATGATAATATAGTATAAAAGGACAACTATTGGTATCTTGCTGTGGTATAAGAGGAAACAACGGCATTATACTGTGATGAAACGTTTTATGACAATGAAAGTGGATGGCGTTAATTTCAATGTATTTACCTGATTTCAACAGTATCTAAAGTTCTAAGGTATTTTTTGTGCAATGAGACATTAAAGTACTAAGTGCTGTATCTCCAGATCCACATCTTTTATTTTTTAAGAAAAAGAAAGTATCTCAGTTTATAATGTATTTGTGCTTAATTACATAAATATTTAATTTGATAGCGACATGTGAAAAATCGGGAAAAGTAACATATAGTGTAGACGAAATATAGGATTTTAAAGGGTAATCTGATTAAAGCCGTTTATCTTGAAAAGGATAACGGGAAGAATAGTTAACATGAGAAATAAGTGAAGTTATTGTTCTTGTTTGTTTGTTTTTGTTTTTGTTTTTGTTTTGGAGGGTGGGGTTGGGGGGTTGGAGGGAGGGTTTGGTGGGGTTGTTTATATTTGTTTTATTTTGTGTATTTTGTTTTGTTTTTGTTTGTTTGGATTTTGTGAGGAAGGTTGGGCGGGTTTTTTTTTATTTTGTTTTTTTCCCTTAGTTTTATTTTGTGTTGTTTTTTGTTTTTCTTTTTGTTTTGTTTTTGTGATTTAAACATATTTTATTGCCACAGAATAACAAAGGGATTGGGCACAAGTTATATCAACATTATCGACGCCCTCTCCCAAAACAATTACAATATACACAATTTGGCAAACAAAAGTACAGGTCACATTAAGAAAAAGACAAAACATATAACTGTTGGCATTGCTCTCCGAAACTAAAATAATAAGATATATAAGTATAGATATAAGTATAACCTGTCCAAACTTGATCAAAATGCTGGCTGGTTTGTAACAACTATAAGTGAGAAAAGTCTAACAAAAGTAAGGCCGGAATAGACAATGATCCGAAATAGACAGGGGTCGGTATGGACCGATTATACTGTATTACTTAATTACAATTAAAGAAATTAAAATCTGTTGCTGGTTTTAATAAAATGGTGCACATTTCTAAAAATCATAATATTTGTGTCTATGAGTAGATTTTTGTTTCCTGAAAGTAGTAAATTTATATTAATATTGACATGCATACCATCAAGACTATCAAATAGAACACGCCTCTGAAGGTCAAAACGAGGACATTCAAAGAAAAAGTGCAATGCATTTTCACACGGGTTACCACATACACATTCAGGATTTTCTACAAGATTTACTCTAAATAAATCATATCTTAAGGAACTGTTTTGGTGACGTAACTTTGTATGAATAATGTTTACTTTCCTATCACCAAATCCAAAATACTTAGGAGGTTGTAACTGCTTTAAATCGGGTGTAATAGATTTTTTAAACATCGCAAAAGAAGGTGCAGATCTAGAGGAATTTTCCAGGTCATTCCATGAACATAGGGTTGAGGGTAAATAGGACGAATTAGTAGATGAGAGTCTATAATATGGAATTACGAAATCATTTTTGTTTCTCAGAGAGTAAGGAGTGCTTTCCCCAACTGTATTGGGTAATATATCGTTGAGAAAGTCAGGTGTTAAGCCGTTTTTCATCTTATATAGTAGCTGTAATTTTCTTCTTTTACGTCTATCGGAAAGTGTTTCAAATCCCGTTTCCAAATAAAGAGAATCACTAGTTGCATATGAAGGTAAACCAGTTATAATTCAAGCTGCTTCACGTTGGGCCTTTTCCAATAAATTAGATTCAAAAACACTGCAACCATCCCATAACTCACTAGCATATTCCAAAACTGGTAAAATAAAAGTTTTATATATTTTAACAACGTGTCACGTTTAAGTATATACTTTAATTTCCTAAGTGCATTTACCTTCTTTAAGACAGATATATATGTATTTTCAATATGGTCACCCCATTTCCCTTTATTATTAAAAGTAACACCCAAATGCCTATGACAACTACTAAAGTTTAGAAACGCATTATCAAATTTCAACTCAAGATCCCCATCTAGTTCTATTGAATTTGATATAAAAATAACTTCCGTTTTGCCCGGATTAAATTTCACCAACCATTTTTTAGCCCAGTTATTTAACGATTCTAAGTCGTTGTTTATAGTAGTTTCTATCTCGTTACAAGAAGATGACGTACTCATAAGAGAGGTATCGTCAGCAAAAAGACGTGACGCTGAGCGCAAAACGTCAGCGACATCATTGATATAAATAAAAAACAATGGAGGTCCAAGTAAAGAATCTTGAGGAACACCCGCTTTAATAGCACCAATATCGGAAAATGAATTTGAAATGAAAACCTTCTGTTTTCTGTTGGACAGATAATTTTCTAACCACGTCAACAATTCCCCAGATAGACCATAGGATTTTAGCTTTATTAACAACCCCTTATGCCAAACACGATCAAAGGCTTTAGATATGTCATAAAATACTAAACAAGCGTGTTTACTGTCCTCTAATGCTAAACATATGTTGTGATAAATTTCTAATGATTGATGAACCGTAGAATGACCTGGCATAAACCCTGATTGATACTTAAAAATAAAGAATTTTCCATAAAATAATTATGTATATGCTTGAAGATAACCCGTTCGAAAATCTTGCCTACCGTTTTGTTTTTGTTTTATATCAAGGGAAAACATTCAAAACATGTTGGAAACACCAAAAATCAACACTGACGACCGAAATTCTTATGTATTGTAATAGTGTGTAGAAGCTGAGTCGCCTTACTAACCTCGGATAGTGAAGGTTTCCCTTAAGTTTAACGATAGAGTTTATGTCTAGAGACTATGGGTCGCAAGTTCGAACCCCGGCGGTAGCAAGGCGTTTTATTCATTACCTCTTCCTGAAACTTTCTTACTGAATAAAGGAGATTCAAAATAAATGAAACTTTAGACCGCAAATGATGGTAATCAACCAATAAAGCGAAAAGGAAAAACATTTTCCGTTCGTTTTGGTTGGAATCCATCCCGTTTCTCCTCACGGCTAAATTAGTAAACTAAATGTCAGTGAATAGACTGATATTTGATACACACGTGGAAAAGAACCACTTATCACGCGAATCCTTGCTTCCGCGAGTCGTGAATTTTGAAAACAAGGTTGTCTGGATCGAACGCGCCGCAGGCCATGTGACCTTATCCATCACGTGATTACATTGTTCCATATCACGTAAGTTTTCGCGGCGATTAGTTACAAAGTCTAGTTGAAATACCGTATTACTAACGATGGATAGTAATCAATACATGTTAGAAGTTATGAGTATTTTGTCATTTTCGGACGGTAAGTAGCAAGTATCGTTTTAACTTGTAATAGATCGGGAATGAAATAGATATCTGATTAATAATCGAAATGTTCCATGTAGCAAATTCTAAATATAATTACAAGTACTGATTTCATTAAGGACCCTTTCTTTAGAAAGTTGTTTAATGCTGGTTTCAAAACGCTGTCACATTTTTTATGTATATTTTACAGTGTCATATCAACATAAATTTGTGTTTTGGTTTTGTTTGTAGTTCCGAGATATAACAAAATATTAAAATTGTTTTATTTGTATTTCGCTAAAACGCCAAAGCACTAAGTTCGTCAGTAAATCTACCCCTCCCAATGTGATCAGTGTATAGGTAACAGGACAACACATTTACCAGCTCTTTGGATTAAAATTAAAACCATATTACCAGTATCTGTGTATATTATTTCACTTCTGTCCTTTTTCGTTTCCAGATACCGTCAAGGTTATGAGGAAGGAACTAGGTTGTGTACAGGTATATGTTATTTCCTTCGATTTGTCGTGGGTAAATATAATTAATCTAGTAGAAAACAATTTATTAACAACACAATTACCTTTGTAGTGGAGCCCAAATTTCCCTCGACTGATATTGTGTTTTTTTCTTTCATTCTAGGCATATGTTCCTACTCCAGAAGTTAAGGAGGAATTGAAGAAAATTTCTGGCAAACTCAAAGACTGTCGTAAGTTAATAAAGTTGAAAGTTATATGCTAAAAATGTTTTGGGTCATTCACATCACGTGCTGACTGTTATAAAAAAAATCGATCTGCTACCTTTATGCTTTTTATGGATCGAGTTATTAGTATATGCTTAAGTTAATTTAACGAAGATGTCAAAGAGATTGGGAGATCTATATGTATATTCTGTTTGGTGCATCATGTACTAAATATAGTAACAAGATTACCTAACCAGACATCACAGGAAAACAAAACAAACAAAACATATGTGAAGTTCCTGTTTACCTAAAATGCTTTCATATTGTTATCATAAGGCTAAGATCATTTTGTTTTGAAACGAAATCATAGCTTGGTTAACCATCTTTCTAGGAAACGATCCCTGTTGTGTGAGTATTTAGTTTCGGCTCTGTTTTCTTTACGCGGTGTATGATGATTATAGAAGAGAGATCAATACTCTCAAGGTAAGACGTCAGAAACATCGAAATAAATTCTAATCGATTTTTGACGAAAAGTGATTATGATGATTATATATTGGTAGAAAACTCATACTGTTTCCACGACTTCGGTTAAAAAAAAACAACAAAAAAACAAACGTCATCATTTTTTATTTCGGGATTCAAAACAGGTAGATCAGGATAAATAACAAGGGAGAAATACAGCAGTTGGTATTGTAAAGTACAAATTGGTACAATATTTTCTCTGTACAACACTATTAACATTGATCAGCAAAACTGTGATTCATTCTTTCTGTTTTCTAACGTTGGTGAAAATGGAAATAAAACGTCCCCCTTAATTACGGTTTGACCAGACTTCTCTCTCTCACTCTCATTTGTTT